CCATGTCTACGCCTGGGTCTTTGACCAGGTGGAGGGAGGAAGACCCTCATCTCAGAGTAGCCCTTTCCTCTGTTCTTTCTTTCTTTTTCTTTTATTGAAAGGGGACTACGTTTTATCAGGAACAACTCGCATTTCTGTGCTGAGCAGGCTCCTACAGCTGTGTTTGGAGGGCCCCGCCGAGGCGTGGGCTCCGTCCACGCCGTCTGAGACCTCGCAGTCATGCTGCCTGTGTTTTAGAGGGTTTTCATTTAAAGAAAATATGGTGTTTGGGGTTTTCTGTTTGTTTTTTAAAGATTATTTCAAAGGAGTACTGAAAAATATACTGAGTTCATCTCTCAAATCTTAGTGGTTGGACCTGGGAGATGCAAGAAGCTTCCAGAAACGAAGTTTAAACGAGCCACACAACGAGGTTAGAATGAACACCTGTGACGTGATTACGGAGAGGAAGATTTTTGTTTTCCATTTAGTTTCCAGCAGCTCTTCTCCCTGTACATCAGGGCAGTGAAGAAACGTCACTTGGGCCCATGGGCCCCACTGGACTTCTGAGAAGAAAGGCACTTCTCACACACAGTGGACTCAGTCCCCTGAAGGGCCGGGGCAGAGCTAGCCATGAGGCCAGAGGGCAGGAAAGTGGTTGTTCCTCGCCCAGTATCTTCTTCCCCAGGGTCCTTCCTGAGGATTTGGCAAAAGACGTCAGCTAAGAAGATCCTTCTCCAGGGAGGCACCCTGAGCCCCTGCAGCCATCAGAGAAGGCTTGCCCCCTTATCCTCCACCCCACTCCCAGATTTGAAGCCCCTCTGTGTGCACAGCTTCCATGAGTTGGGGTGGTTTCTACTTTTATTTGGGAGAAGTTTCAGAAATAAGTTGATTCTGTGCTGAAGGTGCTTGGGGGAGTGTGTCACTTCAGCTGATAAGACAGGCATTGACCTGGGTCTACATTAAGGAAGTTCTTGCGGTTGGGAAAGGCCTTCTGGGGGTAGGTGTTAGTTTCCTTGGTGATTATCCAGTTGAGGACCGTTTCCTGCCTACCTAGGTCCTAGTGACAGTGATGCCCTAGCATCCTTTCCCCATGCACCTGACACACCCTTATTCTAAAGCCTCCAGGTGCCATCTGGTAAATGGAGAGACAGGGATACACAGGCACCTTCTCGAAAGGCCTCTTACTCCCATTGCTAGGGCTTTTGGTCCCCTTTTGGTAGGCCGCCTAGAGGCATTGGGCTTGGATAGGCTTCTGCTGCGACCCTTTGTGCCTGCCCACCTCCCTGTTCCTTCCTTGGAGTGCTCTACCTCGCTCTTTGCTGTTGGCTTTGTTCACCTTCTAGCAGCAGTTACTTTGAGTTTTCCAAATCAAGGAACATCTGTACTGAGGCAATGTCACTTCTGATTTTTGGTCAATTTGTTTTAAGCTCTTTTGTCACCAATAAAATGTTAAAACAACTCTTGCCTGTCACAGGGCTGGTAAACTGCAGGGGTGGGAGAGCCCTTGGTCTGGGGCCTACTGTCTCAAGGGCATGTCTGAGAAGGGCTGGGTCTACAGGGCACCTCTGCCCCTTGCACCTGTGCTTGCGGGAGTGGGCAGGACTCCCAGGGTCCCCTTGGATGTAGAGCCATCTAGATACAGCTCTCTAACAGGGCAGATGGCACCATTATAGGACCCTTGTCTCCACCGATCTGACGTCCATCGGATGGAAGCAGCGGTCCCCGCCCTGGGTGAGAAAACCCAAAGACGCGCAGCTCAAACCACCCTGTGTTTATTGTGTTCCCGCTCACGCTTGTTCCGTCAGCGGCAGCCGCACTCATCCACCACCATGTCCTCGTAGTGCCGCAGGACCACGTTGTCGCTGTTGTCAAAGAAGAGCACAGAGATGGGTGACAGGCGCGCGGGTACACAGCAGGGCAGGCCAGCGGCGCCGGGGGCAGCCGAGTACATGAGCGCGCGCAGCACAGCGTGATTGAGTGTGGGGGGCCCACCGGGCCCAGGCAGTGTGGCGGGCAGCGAGCAGTGTCCCTGGCAGTAGTTGGCCAGGAAACCACGCGGTGCAATGACCCAGCGGTGCCAGCCCACCTCACGGAAGCTCACATAGAGCCGCCGCGCGCGACAGGAGCCCCCAGGACCACCACCCACCACGGGATCAGCCTCACGCCGCAACCGGGCTAGGGGATGGCACAGGCGTGGGTCGAGGGTCACCAGCAAGAGGGAGGCCTCAGCCAGGTGCACGCAGGCGCTAGTGGCGCGGTGGCGCAGCGCCAGCACCAGGTGGAGGCTGCGGGGCACTGAGGTGTTGTGGGACCAGGCGGCACCCAGCAGCTCAGCGCGCACTGGCGTCCCCAGCGAGACCACCGCCTGGCGGAGCAGCACCGGACCCACACCCGTGCCCTCGGCTGCCTGCGCCAAGCTCAGCTCCCAATCGCCCTCAATTCCCATCGCCGCTTCCTCTGCCGCGAAGCGCAGCTCCAGGCGGGCTCGGCTCGGTTGCTCTGTGGGTTCCACAGCGGACAGGTCAAAGACGACGGTCCACCTCGAACACTGCCCTGCGGCCGCGGACTCCGGGATCCCGGCGCGTGTACCTGGGGAGGCCAGAAGAGGGCTGGGCTTGCACTGCATCCCCACCCTCCCCGCCCCCAGCGCAGTGCCGCCTGCACTCAAGGGGTTCTCTGTTGGGGAGATGGGGGGAAAGTGAGCGCCTGGAGTTGAGAGCAAACCATCTGTTATACAGCATCAAATGGTGTGAAGGAGCGGGGTCGGATGGCGTGGGGGCGGGGCATCACTTGCAAAGAAGACATCTGCCCAATGCAGGGTGGCTTGTCTGTGTGGGGAACACAGGCAGGGGGCAGAGATGAACCAACGCCTGGGGAAACGGTGCTGGAGCGCGGTGTCATCTGCAGCAAGGCTTCAGATGGTGTGACGCAGCAGGAGTGCGGGAGTGGGGGCAGGGCTTCGGCTGCAAGCCAGGGCCTTTGCTGGGTACAAGGCGCAGCCTTGTGACCAACTCTCCCTGGTCCCCCCAGGTGTCCATGGAAATGAGGGATGGAGTGCGGGGACGCATTTTGTTCCTGGATTGGCTCCACTGGGTGGGTAGGGACCCTCGGCCGATGAAAGCTCTTGGTGGGCTGGGGCGCCCAAGGGGGGGGGGGTCTCAGCCGCCCCACTCACCTCGATCCGGGACGTGGCGCACAATGTTCCCAGCAACCCCCAGCTCCTCCACGTGGCAAGGTCGTCGTAGGGTGGCCCCCGGGGGCGTCCGTCCTGGGCTGACCCTGGCCTCCTGGGGGTCCCGGCGGCGGAACAGGCGCCACATGACGGGGGGTACGGGACGGGGCTTGGGGGCACCCTGAGGTGCGTCACACAGCCCAAGAGCCTGGAGCAGAGCGGCGGCAGGGCCCGGGGCCGCAGGGGCGCAGGCCGGGGCCAGCGAGGGCAGCAGCAGGGCCGGGAGGAGGAGAAGAACACGGCGGTCGGGACAGCGGAGCAACAGTGGCATCTTCCTCACAGGCGGCAACCGGACGAGTAGTCAGGAGTCCGGGGTTGGGCAGGGGCAGGGGCAGGGGCAGGGGCAGGGGCAGGGTCCCGGGGGGCGTGGCTTCGGTCCTGAAGCCCGGCAGGGACCCATCCCTGGGCGGGGTTTCAGAGTTGCCGGACAGGGGTCTCAGGAGTGGCCCGGGCCGGGAGGGGCGGAGCTGGACCAGCTGCGGGTCAGGGAGAGCAGCATAGACATCCCAGGGGGCAGGGTTGGGCGGGGCTGTGTCCTGGGGGTCCGGCGGGAGTCGAAGGGTTCAGAAGCACTTGTCCTTCACCAAACCGTTCCTCAGTGGCTTCCTGTGGGCCAGAACCCGGCCCTGGTTAGCCTAGGGACCCCACACCACCACGTATCCCGTCCAGTCCACCTTGCGGCCCACATCCCTTTTTCCAGCCCACCTCCTTGGCTTCTCCCCACAATTAAACCCTCCCCTCCCCCTTTCCTTCCCCTGCTAGGCCCCGGGCAGCCACTGGAGAGCAAATGCCATGTTCCCACCTCTGCCTGACATAACCCCACCGCCTCAACCTAGATTAATCCTGCACTTTTTATCCTCCACCCCTCCCCAAACTGCAGAACTGGCCAGAGGCCCCTGCCACCGTCCGGGGCAGCCCTCCCTGCTCTGTGGCCCTAGGTGGCTCACAGTCCCATCAGGACAGGCTTCCCTGTCCATCCTTCTCCACCCACCGTCCGTCTACACTGCTGCAGCCCTTACTTTCATTCCATGTTTTTAGAACAAGTTGCTTGATATTTTAAAACTGTGATCAATATATTAAGTGTCCAGCTTAAGATCCCAGAGAAAGGCCCCTAAATTCCAAATATGCATGGTTTGCATATTTCAAACTTCTATAAAGATGTCTTCGATTTTCCAAAAATGTGACAGTTTGAGGACTCTCCTGTGCACACTGCTCCGCCCCACAAACTCCATTTTTCCTGCTAGTCTCGGAGCTTCTGCGGGGGGGGGGGGGGGGGGGCGGAGCCTGTGCCGGGTGGCATGCCCGGACCCACCTGACTGGCCCCTGCTCCTCATCACCTGGGCCAAAACTCAGAGTTCATCCTGTTAGCAGGTCGGCTGGTCCCCAGATGGCATCTCAGTGCAGCCTAATGCCGTAGCCATTGGCCACTCCCGTTCCCGCTTACAGGAACTCTTTATGCCTTTGCACACAGTCTACTAGTCTCTGTAGAAGTGAGTTCTATAATCTAGTTTACGTAAGTTTTCTGAGCTAGTAATACGTCCTCATGATCCAGACATCAGAAGGTGTGAAGCACCCACACTTAACCCTAGTCACTCCTGGGGGTAGTCTTACAGGCATAGCAGACACCCTTTCACATTAGAATGTAGACTTGCCTGGGGAAGACTGTCTCAGTCACTTCATTTGTCCTTCCCTTGGGCTGGCTGTCCCTTCTGGGAGCACACTAATCCTATCCTTGCTGCTTTTCCCTGTGGGTCGCTGCTCTTTCTCTGGATGAACCAGCAGGAGCCGCTTATCTGTGAGGTTACAGATAAGCCTTACAAGACCTCCATGTGACGGTTGTCTTTTGGCTTTGCCTGTTGGTCCTTAGACAAAGCAGAAGGAGGAGGTTCTTGGCTTTTGGACATTTCTTCTACATAGTTCAGTTTGCTAGGTGACACAGTGTTCCATTTCTGGCTCTAGTTGGAGTTCACAGTTTCCACTTCTGTGACATCTTTGATCCATCAGAGTTTGCCCCGGGGCTGATGCAGGGTAATCTCCAGATGGTCACCAAGTGTCCCCACCATGTTCCAACAGTCCTTCCTTCCCTCTCGGTGACCTTTTATTTGCTCAAGCGTGAATCGGTTCTGTTCCCACACAGTTTTAACTCCTGTACTTTTGTTTTTATCCTCACCCAAGGACGCGCTAATTGATTTGAGAGAAGGGAAGGGAGAGAGGAAGAGGGAGAGAAACATTGATGTGAGAAACATCAGTGGGCCACCACTTATACACTCCTGGATCCCAGCCACACCCCCTGTGCCCCAACCGGAGACTGAACCCGCAACCCAGGCACCTGCCCTGGCCAGGAATCAAACCTGCGACTTTTGGTCCATGGGACAATGCCCAACTGACTGAGTCACACCAGCCAAGGCTAATTCTTGTACTTTCATAGTAAGTTTAATGCCTTCAGGGATTGGTCCCTCTGCCCCCATGCCTTTTTTATCAGTTTCATGGTGATTCCAAATTGTTTTATGCACAAGTTTCCAAGTACCCCCTCCTCCTTCACTAGTGTTGGAGGGGGGTTGGCCTCCCTAGATATCAGACTTAGACTTTCCAGGGCACCACTGAAGGGACAGGGGCAGGCAGGGGAGGAAGGTGGTGTGAGAGGAGGGCGGAGATGAGGGCAGCCAGTGACTTGGGTGGATTCTGGATGTTTCCTGGAGAATGAGGAGGAGGGGGAGGGGGGACTTCCCAGGGTTTCCCAAGGTTCCGATGAGTTGCCATCCACTGTGATGGACAAATGTTCAAGAGGTGTGGGGTGGGGTGGGATGGGCATTGATTTGGGATATTTATTTTTAAAAGAGAGGGGAAGCAAGGGAGAGAGGGAGGGAAACATCAGTGTGTGGTTGCCTCTCACACACTCCCTACTGTGGACCTGGCCCACAATCCAGGCATGTGCCCTGACTGGGAATCGAACCAGCAATGCTTTGGTTCACAGCCCGGGCTCAATCCACTAAGCCACACCAGCCAGGGCAGATTTGGGACATTGCAGAAGAATGACAGTACGCTTAGAGTGTCGAACAGATGCTGGAGACAGAATGGCGCTCAGAGGAGCCCTGGGAGCTGGGAGAGAAACTTGGAAGCTGGGGTGGATTAAGTGAAGGGGCCCTAGAGGCCAAGGACTGAGCAGGAAGCACGGGGAGGTGGGGCGAAGGACCTCAAGAAGTGGGAGCAGACTGGCAGGTGTTAAGGGGGTACTGGGTTGGGTGCAAGGCTTCTTTTGGGGGTGATGAAAATGTTCTAAAACTATGGTAATGGCTGCACAACTGTGGACTAAAAACATTTAATTATACACAGCAAATGGGCAAATCGCACAGTATGTGAATTCTGTCTCAAGAAAACTACTACAAAAAGAAAAAAAGAGGGGGAAGTGACCCTGGTTTTAGCACTAAGAAGGCCTTGGGGAAACCGAACAGGAGTGGTGCTGGGGAGCAGTGGGAGGAGGACCCCGGAGTGGGGCGGGCTCCAGAACGGAGGGGTGCTGCTGGGAGGGAGGAGGGGGGGAAGTGGGCCAGGCTGGCGCAGGGGGCTGGAGAAAGGGGGTGTCTCTCCTTGATCAGAATGTCCTGGGCAGTCAAGAGGATGGACGTCCCTGGCCCCGGATGGTGACCTTGGAGGGAGATGGACCGTCCACTGAAGCAGCCAGCCAGTGTGAGACTGGATGTCCCACTTCTGGTTTGGGGGGGACACAGAGGCCAGGTTGGTGGGCAAGGGGATGATGGTGACGGCAGCTGACAGCTGAGAAGGAAGAATGAAGGAAAAAAAGGCAGGCTGGCACTGTGCAGGCGGCAGCGAGGGCCCTCCAGCCTGTCGGCGCTTCCTCGTGGGCCAGACACAGCGGGGGCAGTGTTGGCGCACGGCGTACAAAGCAGCACCGCATTGCGGGGTGGGTCAGCAGAGCCAGAGCAGGGGGCGGGCCCCTTGTGGATGGCGGTCCCAGATGCCTCTGGGGATAGTAAGCTTCAGACCAAGGTGCCAGGTCATGACCAGGGCACGGGGGACAGCCCAGGGGGCCGAATTGGTCCAGGAGGTTGGTCAACCAGATGACCAGTGGCCAGTTGTTGGGGGATCAAGAGAGACCGGAGGGAGGAGACAAGAGTGCAGACAGGGCTGGGAAAGGACCGGTGCGACTTACTTGTCGTCTGGCTCGTCTCTCCTGAATCACCTCTAAGTTGTTCTCACTTGTCATTTTCTTACTGTTTTCAAACCTAACTGGATTCTCATCTCTATGGTCTGTGAGATCCTGATTTTGAGTTACCCCTGTGGCTTGCTGTGGTCAGTGCCAAAAAAGGTTCCTTGTTTTCTAAAAAGAGTATCTGTTCACCCTGTTTCTGAATTGCTGGGTGAGGAGCACAAAGCATGAACTGTGCCTCTCATGGTCCCATCACCCCAACGTTCAGGGCTGTGCTGTGTGGAACATTCCAGATCAAGAATTACACCTGAGCCCTGGCCAGGTAGCCCCGTTGGCTGGAGTGTTGCCCCGATATGCCAAGGTTGCGGGTTCTGTCCCCGGGGCAGGGTGTACACAAGAATCAACCAATCAATGCGTAAATGGGTGGAGCGACAGGTCAATGCTTCGCTCTCAAATCAATACATAAAAATTTAAGGCAAAAAGAAAGTACTCCTGAATTTCTCTTCCTGTCCTTTTCCACTTGCAACTTTTATGTACCCTGAAGTTGAAGTCTTTTAACAGACAGAGGTAGATGTCAGGGGGAAAAAAAAGTCAATCTCACAACTGTCATGATTATTCATGTATGTTTGAGTACCTAATATTTGAGATTCTGCCCTCTTATTTTGCATTACTTATGCTGCCTTTTCTAACCTTCCTTTTTTGCATTTATTTTGCACCTGTTTTTTATTACCCCGATAGTGTTAAAACGTAACTAACTGATACAGCCTAAAGCTAATCCCACCCTCTTGCAAAAAACCCCAATCTTGTTTTGATATTTAGTATTTCAACTTATCTGATATTTAATATTTTAGTTCTGATTATTTTATATCTCTCAAATTAGGCATTTAAAATGTTTATTCAACCCTGACCAGTGTGGCTCAGCCAGGTGGATGTTCCGCAGTGCCAAAGGTCGCTGGTTCGATCCATTCCCGGTCAGGGCACAGGCCTGAGCGCAGGTTTGGTCCCTGACCAGAGCGTGTCCAGGACACAACCCACTGGTGTTTCTCACATCGAAGTTTCCCCCTGCCCTTCCCCTCTTTCTGTAAATACTCCTTATTAAAAACTGTTTATTCAGACATATATCAGTTTCTCTACTAATCCACTTCTTGAGAGAGCTTTCTTGTTTTCTGAACTATAACCTTCTTAGTGTTTATTCCTATCTCTTGAGAATTGGTTTTAAAACTGGGTACAAAATCCCCGGTTACTGGGTGCTTCACGTGAGCACTTCACTCCACTGTCGCCCTGTGTCCGTGCGGCCGTCAGGCTGTCACTGCCTCGTGGGTCGTTTCTGCTTCCCTGTGGCTGTTTCACATTTTCACTATCACATTTGGGGCACGGATGTCTTTTCATTCATCTTGCTTATTACTGCTGTCTTGCCACTTTACAGAAAATTCTCAGCAATACATCTTCTCATATTATCTCTCCTCACCTGTCTCCTATTAGAATTCAGCTAGACCAGGTCATTCTTAAAATTCTAGCTGCTATTGTTTCCATCTGTTTTTGCTGCATTCTGGGTCATTTCTTCACAGCTTTTGATTTACTAATTTTTTTCTTTGGCGGTATCTAATCTGAGCCTTCAGTTTTAGTAGGCTGAATGGTGGTCTCTGAAAAGGAGAGGGCCACATCTCTGGAACCTGTGAACGTGACTTTATTTGGAGAAAGTCTTTGCAGATATAATTAAATGAAGGCATTTGAGACCAAAAAAAAAAAAAGGCCCAAGAGAAGAGACGGCCATGTGAGGAAAGAGGCAGAGATCAGAGTGATGCAGCCACAGCCAAGGACGCCTGGAGGCCCAGAAACTGGAGGAGGCAGGGAGCACCCTCCCCTGGAGTCCCTGCTGACGCCCTGCTTCCAGACTTCTGGCCTCCAGAGCTGCGAGAGAACACATCCTACTGCTGGAAGTCACCTGGTCAGTGTGCCCTGGTTACAACAGCCTCAGGAAAGCGACAGAACATCCAATGCTTTTTTTGATGGTCAATCATGCCTTTTAATTTTTAGATAAACTTTATTTTGGAATAATTTCAGATCTGCAGAACCACTGCAAAGAGCGTACAGAGATCTCCAGTGCAGCTCTCACCAGCGTGCTGGACGCTAACACCTTACAACTCCATGGTACATTTGTCACCACTAAGCAACCACGGCGGGGACACTGCTGCACACGAAACGGCAGACTGGATGTGGATTTCACCAGCTTTCCCATGGCAGTCCTTTCTCTGGCCCAGGGTCCTCGCCCAGCCCCCCACCGCCACACACACACTGCATTCAGTCCTTGCTGTCTCCTTGTTTTCCATGACCCGGTGACTTTGAGGCATCCTGACCGCCCACCACTGCTAACACCAGCCATCTGTGGGGAATCAAGTTTTGCTGGTGGTGGCCCCGGGGCTGATCCTGACAGCGTGTTGCATGCTCTGCCATCCTAGTGGGGGTGTGGCAGACTGCCTGGGCCTCAGCCCACATTCTGGCCACTCTCTGGGAGACAGAGCAGGGGTGGCACCAGGGGTGGGGGGGGGTTGGGGGTATGACCTTGGGCTTTGCTTGTCCCAGGACTCTCCACCAGAAGCTTGCCGTTCTACAGCAGGAAAAGCTTTCAGATTTTTAGGTTTGGCTAGCAGGTGCCTCTCCTGCCCTGCCCCTGGAGTTGTCTTAGCCACCACTGTTGCTGGACGCTCTGAGGGTCAGGCGGACTCCTCGCTGAACTGATTTCTCAGTGGAATTACTGACTCATGACCCCCTGAGCATCGATGATCAAACATCCCCCCGCAGCAGATGCCTACCTGGCCCCCACTGGCACGGAGCCCTGCCTGACTCCCGTTTTGGTAAATGGCAGCTTGAGCCAGAAGCCTTGGGTCATCTTTGATTCTTTTATTTCAGTTTGACCTACATCCAAAGCAAGTCTGGTCAGTTCTACAACAATGCTGGGATCTGACCACTGGGGCAGCCTCAGTTGCTTCTTGTGTTTATGCTTTCTGTCCACTGTCTGAGCCCTCCCTGCCCTGGGTGCTGGCTTTCTGGCCCAGGCATACCCTGCCTGGAGTCCCTTGCTGGTGGGTGCAAAGTGCTTCTCTGTTTGAGCAGGCCTCGAGAGCCCTCCCTTGATCCCACTCTCTGCCCTTGTCTTCTGCTTCCCTTCTTCTGTCTTTCCCAGGGATTTTAAAGTCCCTGTCCTCTCATCCTCCTTACCAGCCACCCTGACGCACCTCACTGAGCCTGGGCCCACTGCTTCCCCACAACCACCATTCCTCGGTTGGCCACTGCTGTCTCCCCAGAGGCCGAACTGGAGGTCCGCCTGGTCAGCCCGATTCCCTGCTTGCTCAAACACCCCCAAGGCTGCCTCCGGGGCACTGCACACTCTGGACCCTGCTTATCACCCCTGCCTGCCTCTGTTTACTCCTGGGTGTCCTGCAGGCAGGGGTTCCGGACACTAGGGCTCACATCCCGGGGCTGACAAGTCCCAGGTGCCCTGCCCCCAGGATGCCTGATGAGGCCCATTTTTCTCTCCTTCCCTAGGACCCCCACCTGGGCTGGACTGGGTCTGAGCCCCCAGCTCCCATCCCATCCCCTGTTTGGGGAGCCAGGGAACACTAGCATGGACAGAGCATGGGCTCTGTGGGCGGCCCACGGCACCCCTCCTCCCCGCCGCCACTGCCTGCCCAGCAGCCCCTCCTCACCACCACAGGGCCCTCACTTGCCTGCTCCGGCCACACCAAGCATGCCAGCCACTCGGCTCAGCCCTCACTGATCACTGACAGCACCCTGCTTCTTGCTTCTCACCACTCTGCCCAACACCGGCCTCCCTATCGCATCCTCGGTGTCTGTCCTCATAGCACCTAACTCCATCGCTACGTCATCCACGCCTTTACTGCAGTCTTTGTTTTGGACACAGGCTCCGGTGGCAGCGTCCACTATGGCTTCATCCGCTGCTGTGTCTCCAGGGCCTGCCCAACTGTGTGCGCTCAGACTGTTAGATGTGGCTAAAGTAACGAACCCGGGGCGGCAGCCCCTCCACACTCACTCAGCTTTGCTGGGCTTGGGGCTCAGGGCCTCTGCTGCATCGTATTCCCGTACATCCTTCAGCTCCCGTACCTGGCCCGTCAACACCTTGGCAGCAAAAGCCACGATGTACTGTGGGAGGGGAAGGCACAGGTGAGAAAAGAGCCTTTCTACGCCATATTGCCCTCCTGATGGCCATGCACTCCTGCCTCAGGCCCTTTGCATGTGCTCTTCCTGTTGCCCAACATGCCCCTCCTAGGGTATGCCTGAGAAGGGCCTGCACCTGGACCACTTCCCTGGGAAAGGGGACCAGGATGGACTCCCAGCTGAGGAAGCAGGTGGGCAAGGAGCTGTGGGAGGCCAACTCACCAGGAACCAGTAAAGGTTCATGAGGGTGAGAAGCAGCAGGAGTGCGTTGAAGAAGAAATAGAAGGGAATGTCAGGCACGGAGCGCAGGCTGCAGTGGCATGTAGCATACAGGACCTTGAGTGGGAACCAGTAGAGGCGGAACCAGAACCTGTGGTGGGGAGGAACAGGTCACGGAGTCTGTGGGGCAAGAGAGGCAGGGCGGCGACCCAGTGCCTGTCTAGTGCCATCTGGCCTCTTCTATCTGTCCCTGCTCATCCCCACATGTCCTTGTCCGGTTGCCCCATCCTTATGTGCCCCTGCTCTCTCTTTACTGCCCAACCAAGCTCCTTCCCCACTTCATTCATCTCCTCCCCTTCCCTGCCAGGCCCCTCTCACTTCACCAGGCCCCACCCCTTCCCTGACTGGCCCTGCCTCTTTCATCAAGCTCCGCCCCTTGCTTGACTGGCACCTCCTCCCACAGACCTACCTTCTTTCCTGCATAGCCCCACCTCCTCCTACCAGGCCCATCTCTGTTCCTGACTGGCCCTGCCCCTTCCCTGTCTGACCCTGCCCTTCCAACAAACCCCACCTCCTTTACTGCCTTGCCCCCGCCCCTTCCCCATCTGGCTCTGCCCATTCTCATAAGCTTACCTCCATCCTGCCTTGCATGCCCCTTCCCACAAACCCCGCCCCTCCAGCCTTTACCCAGCCTGCTCACCAGCTGAGGCTGAAGCTGAGGCAGCCCAGGTCGGCAGCCAAGGCATGCAGAGGATGGTCAGTGCCTCCGCGGGACTTGAAATAAACATTGAGCTTGGTAAACTCTAGCTGCACGTCGCTGATGTCATGCAGGAAGAGCACCAGAACGCCCACGTTGTGGTACCTGAGGAGGGAAGCAAGTTAGGAGAGGAGAGAAGGCCAGTCACAGAAGGTCCAAAACCCTGCACTGAGACCCAGGAGACAAGCCCCTTGAGCATACCTTCCCTGCCTTTCAGAGCCACCCTCCCTGGCCCACCTGCCCCGCCCCTCTCCCCACAGAGCCAGCTCGGAGGCAGCACCCAGACTGTACTCACCTGGTGGCAGTACCACCCCCGGGCCCTCACCATCCCCACCTCACCATCCCCACGTGGCCCAGAAGCCTCCCTGATTAGAGTTTCTTCTCTAATGTTTCCTCATCTCCATGATTTCTGACCCTCCCTAACCCCTGACTCTCACAGGCCAGGACTGTTCTGTGTCCCGATTCCCTGTAAACTTGCTGACATTCCCAGGTCTATACGATTAACCTGAACTTTGCTGTGGGCTGCAGGTGCCTAGGAAACACAGCATTGCTACTAGGATCTGAGGTCTGAAAGCCCACCTCCCCCATCCCTCCCCAATGCTCCCTGTACTGCTGCTTGAGCCAAGGGTCCTGAATTCAGCCTGGAGGGCGCCATGGGTCTCTCCCACCCTGTGTCCATCTCCACTTAGCCTTCCTGCTGTAAGTCCTTTGCACACGCCGTCTCCAGGACCTGACCCCTCCCGTCTTCACAGGGCCTTCCTCCATCTCCTTCCGTCCTTGCTCCCGTCACCCCAGGATACCCCACCTAACCCTCACCCCCCCTGCAGCCTGTAGCCTCCCACTTGATTTTTCTCCATAGTTTACACCTTCAAACAAATTGTTTCTTCTTTTCCTTTCTTTTTCCTTTTTTGAGGGGGGTTTGTTATCATCTGAGTTTACCCTCTGCAGTAGTGCTAATACAATTTTCCAGAACAAAAGGAATGTTCTAAACCTGCATTATCCAGTAAGGGAGCTGCCAGCCAGATGTGGCCACTGCGCAGCTGAAATGAGGGTGGCGTGGCTTCGGAACAGAATGTGATTTTATTTAAGCTTAATTACATTTGAAATAGCCACTTGTGGCCGGCAGCACCGTACTGGACAGTGAGGCTAGTCTGATAGGATCGGAGCAGGAGTGTGCGCTTCATGTTAGATTTCCTATCAGCCATGTTAAAAAAAAATAGAGGGAAGTTAAAATAATATATTCTAATTAACTCAGTATATCCAAAGTACTGTCACTTCAACATGTAACGGATGTAACAAAAGCACTGTCAAGATATAGTCACTCCTTTTGCCTTTGAAGTGGGGTGGATTTTAAAACAACCAGCAGGTTGTAGTCAGGACAGGCTCAGTGGCCATGTGTGGGCTCCAGGGCGCCAGCATTTGTCTGTCCTGTGCACGACTCTGCTCCCAGCAGCACCTGCCATGTGGCAGGTGTTCAGGAAACACTGGCTATGTGACCTGGCCAAGGGTGCCGTCTGGGCGGAGTTGGAGGGGTGGATGAGGATGGATGGGGTGGGGGCTCCCTGCACCTTTTTCACCCCATCCCTCTGGAATCTCTCTGGAACCCTCCCCCATGGACACCCTGAAGCCCCTCCCCCAAGACATTAGCTCCTTCCCTGGGCCAGCCTCCCACCCTTGCTCACATGGTGCCCTCTGTATTCTGGCACTCACCGGAAGGCATAGGAAGAGACAATGAGGACCAAGGTGACCACGTGGTGGACAAGCATGACCACTGAGTCCTTCCGCCAGGCATCCATGTACAGCGTGGCATAGATGGAATGGCCGTAGAAGCTTCCCTGCAGCAGATAGGCGGCTGCAATGTCCCGTGGCACCGCCATGCCTGGTGTCCAGTCTAGGGAGAGCCAGACCGTGTTGTCAGGAACCTGCAGGGCCTCTGGAACTCCCAAGTGGCCACGCATGCTCTCAAGCCAGGCGTGAGTCCTCCCCACGCTAGGGCAGGCCACATGTCTCTGCAGGTTTAATGGCCATTGTTTTCTACCTGTTGTTTTTTTTTTAATGAGCAGGCATTATTTCCTAAAACTATTTTATATTTATAGAAAAGGCTGCCCCTACTCCTGCCCTGGCTGCCCTTCCTGTCTTCTCTAATTTTCAGGCATTGTCCAGCCAGCTGTGCGCTCCTGTTCCAGGCCACGCCCCCCACCCCCAGCAAATTTCCAAGTGGATGGAGGCTTCAGCCCACCCTGCTGTGGGCAGAGCAGCTGAAGCAGTGGTAACAGACCCTGCCAAGGCTGAGGAGTGCAGGCTCCCTGCAGGCAGGCCCTGGCCAGCCCCCCTACATGGCCTTGTCCACTCCTGGTGCTTGTGCCCACCTTTGCGCAGGTCTAGTCTAACCCTTCCTGGCAACACTGACCCCCCCAGCTCTCCCAGGACCTCTCTTCTCCATCCATCACCATGGCCAAGTGCTCTGCCCATTGACCTGGAACTCTCTGCTCATTGGCTACTCTTTCTCTTCTCCACCCCTGCCTCAGTGACCTGGAGCTAGACCCTCATGACCCCTGGGGCTGTTCCCTAGACTCCACTCATGCCCTTGCCTCATGACAGCCCTTCACCTGTGCTACAGTCCCTCCTGAAACCAGAACACACTCAGATCCCTATCCAGGGGCCCCTCTTCAGTCCCAATCTTGGCTCACTTTCTCAGCACCCCCACCCCACCCCAGTCCAGGCACCCAGCGCTGCCCCAGCTCCTCCCGGCCTCTGAGTGTACTCCCGACTGTCTGCTTTGCCCATGGTGGACTCTAAGGCTGTGAAGACACGGACCCCAGGATCCAGCAATGCCATTCCTGTCCTTGTTGAGCTCTCCCTCCCGGTGCCCTCCCCAGGACCCTCTCTCTGTGACCCTGTGTTCCACCTCTCTCAGTCCGACTCCTCTAGGGACCTCCTGTAAGTGGACTCAGTATTTGTCTTCATGTGTCTGGCTAAAATAGTAAATTTTATGTTATGAACATTTTATCTAATAAAAAATGCACAACTCCCCACGGATTGAATCTAATCTCCCCTGACTTTTACATGTCCAGAGGCTTCTCAAAGCAGGCTGGCAAAACCACAGTGCCAGCTGCCTGCCCCTGGCCTCAAGCTCCGTCCTCGGCTGGGCGAGAACGCTGCAGTCGGAGGAGGCTTCCCTGACACAGATGCGCACAAGTGCCAAGTGCCTCTCTATTTCTTTAGAAGGAAGGTGTGCAGAATGTCTCAATGTACAGAGCCCACTGTGGAAATGGGACACCAAATTTTCCATCTACCGCACAAGCAAGACTTACAGTAGATAAGCATATGCCCTCCAGCCTCAGGCCCCAGATCTGAGGCAGGGGGAAGAGGCGGGCACACAATTCAGACTTCACCGGAGGGCCAGGCTCTGTCCATTGACACCCGGCCTCCTTCCCATACGTGTCCCACCTGTTGCTCTGAATGCCCCACATCATCTCCTCCTCATCCCCTTCCCTAAGCTCCATATCAGGCCCCTGGGATTCCCAAGTCCAGCTTCTGGTCTCCCCCAGACCTGCCCCTCCTGGCCCCCGATCTCACTGAGGGGCCCCAGATCCTGGCGTGGTCCTCACCCTCCTCTCACACCCACCTCTGGTTTGGCAGCAACAGTTCTGCCTTTTTTTGTTTGTTTGTTTATTTATTTATTTTAGATTTTATTTATTTATCTTTAGAGGGGAAGGGAAGGAGAGAGGGAAAGAAATATCACTGTATGGTTGCTTCTCATGCGATCCCTGCTGGGAACTGGCCCCTGCTGGGAACTGGCCTGCAACCCAGGCATGTGCCCTGACTGGGAATCGAACCGCGATCTTTTGGTTTGCAGGCCCGTGCTCCATCCACTGAGCTACACCAGCCAGGGCTACAGTTCTTCCTTTAAATCATTTCTCAAATCAACCACTTCTCTGTTCAGCCCCAAGGCTGGAGGCCCCTTGAGTCCAGTTCCTGACCCAAGCCCCTCCTCTGCTCCCAGACCTTGGTACATACCGTCACTGCACACCTGCCCCCTCCTCATCCTGTGCCCTGGCCAGGCAAGCTTCTCTCTGTTCCTGATCCACCAAGAATGTTTCCTGTCTGCTTTAGGCTCCTCCAGGTCCCATTCAAAAGTCACCTTTGGTGGGGCCATTCCCAAGTGGTATAGAAAATGCCCCACCCCCCTCACAGATACCCCATACTTCTCCCTTTTCCCCCAGCTTTCTCAGCAGCGCTGATCCCTGTTAACAGATTTTGTACTTCACTGGCCATTGGGGGTTTTCTCCGAACTGCTCACAGCCTGGTACACGGCTGGTACTCGAAATATGAGCATGTGCAGCGGCAGCTAACTGCCCCAGCGGGTGGCTCAGTTGTTGGAGCATCGCCCCGTATACCGGAGAGGGGGCTGTGATCCCCGACTGGGGCGTGTACAGGAGGCAACTGTTTGATGTTTCTCTTTCTTGCTCTCTCTCAAATCAGTGAAAAACAAATCCTTAGTTAAGGATTAAATAAAGAAAAAAAAGAAACAGCCACTGTATTTTGCCACGTTGAATGTGCACTTTTTTGCCGAAATTTTTGAGGGAAAAATAAAGGTGTGCCTTAAACATGGGTAATACTCATTCTGTTTCTGTATAAATGTCTTTGTTTTGCTTTTAAAAATATTTTATTTATTTTATTTTTTAGAAAGAGGGGAAGCAAGGGAGAAAGAGAGGGAGAAAAACATCAGTGTGTGGTTGTCTCTCGAACTCCCTTTCCTGGGGCTCTGGCCCACAACCCGGGCATCTGCCCGGACTGGGAACTGAACTGGTGACCCTTTGGTTCACAGGCTGGTGCTCAATCCACTGAACCACACCAGCCGGGGTTATATAAATGTTTTTAATTCTTACATTTATGCTTATGAGTTAAAAGTGTAACTCTAAAAAAGCGGTAACAATTTCTATATGCAAAATAATACCCTAGAATATGATCATCAGTTTTGTTCCTAAATATAAATAACAAAAATAGAATTAAAAAATTAAAACAGAAGATTTTTTTCCCCTGAAAGTTCAGGCCAAAAACGTGCGTGCACATTGGACACAAGAGCACTCTGTACGTGGCAAAACACAGTAACTTGCAAACATGGTAACACAGCGTAGTGTATAAGCCAGAGGCGACTCCATGCCTGAAATTTTTTAAGAGTTCAATTTGGTTCATTTGCATAAAGGAAAATTGAATGACAGCTAAAACCTCTCCTCTAGAAATTTACCACATGGGAAATGCACACAGGAAAATGGCCACATGAGCAGCACAGTCCGATGAAGACAGGTTGGGGCCCAGTAACCCCAGCGTTTGTTACCAGGACCCTGCAATGCAGGGGCTCCATTCTCAACCTTCTAACGGTGCCACCAGGAGCCCTCTCGGGCTGTTCCTGTCACAGAGCAGAAAGCGTGTCCATGATACACAGCCTGGGTGGTCAGCGCAGGAACAGAGGAGCCTGACCCCCCATCACAGGTGACCTGCTTATTGGTGATAGAGGACCCTGCAGTCAGTCTCCTGCCCATCCCACCCAGAGCTCAGGCCTTGACCACCCCCACATCTACCCCAATCCATGGACGCAGTCAACTTCTCACCATCTTTTATCTCTTTGCCAAGTTGGTCCAGACCACACTGGTCCCTCCCCTTCCCTCCAGGGCCCCGCTACCATCCTCGCCCAAGACCTTGCTGTCTCCATGGCAGCCAAAGGAAGCTTTTTATAATCCTCAAACTTCTGCCACTTTCCTCTAATTCTCATGAACCGAGATTGCGCACACCCCAGGGTCTTTGCATGTGCTGTTCCTGACACCTGGAGTGCCTACCTGGGCCCACTCAAGGGGGCATCCTCTAGGAAGCACATCCTCTAGGATGCCTTCCTAAATCCTAACAGGGCCAGATGCCCCCTCTCCTGTCCCAGAGGCCCCTTGATCACCCAGTATGGGATGGCTGATGAGTGCTGGCTCACTCATGTGCCCTTCTCAGCGTTTAGAGCAGAACCACCCCTCCCACCATAGGAACCCTACCATAGAAGACAGAAGGTGGGTCGTGAAAGAAGGGGTAGTCGGTGCCAAAGAGCAGGTAGGCACTGTAGCTCCAGGCGCCCAGATAGAAGAGGAACTTCCAGGCGCTCTCAGGCATCTTGGCAGCATCTCTAGGCTGGAGGCGGCACCGCTTGGCCAGGGGCTGCGGGGGAGAAGGTGGGTGGCCATCAGAGCTGGGAGCCGCTCTTCCAGGGTGAGGAGACTAAGGCCCAGGGATTCCCCCAACTGGGTAATGTTGGGGAGGGGCAGCCTTGTACCCACAGCCGCCTGAGTAACCAGAGCCCACGAGTGCCTGCCAAGGGCTAAACTTAGCACCCAGCTGTCTGGCTGAGGTGTGCAGAGGGGAGTGGGAAGGACACTGAGGGAAGTGTGAGGGCCAGGAGGGAGACGTGGGCATAAAGCAAGGGCAGTCAGTGGGGTCAACACAGGGGAATCAAGGGGCTTGGGGGTCACAGGGAGCTGGGTGTATGACAATGAGGAAGGGGTTAAAAGACATGGAGGGGACTGGGGGTGAGCCGATAAAGAGAACATGGAGGGGAATATGAGGGCATCTGGAGGAAGTGAAACCCCCAAGTGTGAGAAATTTGAGGGAAAGGGTGCCTCAGAGGAGGAATCTGGGGAGACCAGAGAGGAACAGGGACCTGGGGAAGATGGAGTATTTGGGGGAGGACATGGGGACATTACGTCTTGTAAGAAAGATAATGAAGCAGAGAATGGATGACACAGTGAGATGCGGTGACCTTAGGGGACAACAGGGAAGACATAAGGGATGCAGGAGCATGCACTGGTGAGCTGCAAAGAAATTGGACTCCGGGGTCCCAGGTGGGGCGGGGCCTGAAGCTGCCCAGGGGCGGGGCTACAGAGTTGCTGGGCCAGGCCTCGCCCCCTTCCCAGAGGCTGAGGGGGCTGGAGCACCTCCAGTTGCCATGGAGATAGCCAGAGCTAGCTCCGGTAACCCCTGGCAACCGGTCTCCTGCCAAGAAGATGAGTGTTGGAGGACCGCGCAGCCCCTCCACCTATTCTTGGGAAGGGCGAGCCTCGAATTGGGGCAAGAAAATGGCGAGGGAGGGCTTAGGGCAGGATCGTGACCCCCTGGGATTCCAAATTGGGGGGGGGGGCTAACCTTGTTGTTCTTGCCCAGCTCCCTCAGGAACATGGGGAGGGAGCCCACTCTGCCCCGGTAGTCCCAGAGCCACCACATCCCCCGCCTGAGCACTGGCCCTCGCCCTACTGGACCTCCAACTTCCCAGCTGTAAGTTGGGAAAGAGAGGGAGCAATAAAACCCAGATTGGGACAAGGGCTATGGAAGGGACCTTGTCACACTTGCCTTCCCCTCCCTGAGCAGGGTGATAGGCGAGGTCTCTTCTCTACTCGTGATGTGGGGATGGGGGTGGGGACAATGGCAACCAGACAACACCCTATGCCGACTTAACAAGAGCCAGCCTCTTCCTGGCCAGCAAAGAAAGGCCCCTTTGTTGGCTCTGGGCACTCTGTCCCTGTACCCCTGCCACCTCCAGCCAGACTGGGGCAGGGTGACTCCAGCTGGTCCACGGGGGAGTCGCAGCTGAGCTAGGGCACCAAACACCTTCCCAGCAGCTCCCACAGGAGACCCCGCCACAAGGATGGGAGGCCAGACACCAATGTCACCCCCATGGTCACTCTCCAGCCTTCAGCTGGGGCGGTGGCCTCCGCCGGCTCACTGGAAACTGGACATTTCCATCGGGGCCCCTTGGAGGCAGCACAGCCCAGCTTTTAAGACCCAGGCCCTGCCATCTCCCAGAGGCTGGGAACACCAGCGTGGCGGCTGAGCCCAGGCCTTTGCTTCCCTAAAAGCAGGCACGGATTCCAGACAGGCACGAGGCAGCGACCAGGCAGCTCCAGCCCCTTCCCTGTGGCAGCAGACCAGGGAGCCCTGCCCACCGTACAGACCCTGGACTCCGCTCTAGCTCAGGCTCCGAGGGCTACCCTCCTCCCCACGCCCGTGCGATGAGCCCTCCCCGCTGTCCTGCTCTGTACGGAATGGGTCGTACTCTGGTTTCCCTCACATCATGAACACCCACCCGTGTCGGGGTCCCCATGTTGCAGACTTCCCCCAGCCCGGCCACACCACCACATCCATTCCCACCCCCACCCCACACTGACAGAAAGGGGCACGCGGCTGTGGCAGCCCAAGACCCTGCGTCCGAGCTCCTACAGCGCGAGGCTCTCCCACGTTCAGTGACCCAGCCCTCAAAGACAGGAAGGGGCGCAGTTCAGTCTTCCAGCTCGGGCTCCCACGACAGACCCCTAGCCGCACTGACCCGAAAGAGGCGCGTGGTGGCCGCCGAGCGCAGCACGGTCCAGCCGAGAGCGCAGAGGGCAAGCAGCAGCAGCTCAGGAGGCGCCAGGTGCGCGTGCTCCGCCAGGCCGCGGCGCGCCAGCCCCCAGCCGCAGTCCACGCAGCCCCGCGCGGCCGCCACCGCACTGCCCCAGCCGCGCTGTACTAGCTGCGCGTAGCTCGGCATGGGCTCGGGCCCCGTGGGGCCCGCAGTGGTCCCGGCCGCCGCCATGCAGCCCGCTCACAGTCCGTTTGCACCGCCTGCGTTTGACTGCGCTGGAGCTGCGCGTTCCGCGTCATGCGCCGCAGCTGGGCCTGGGGCGCGCGGACCAGAGCCCTGGGGGCGGAGGGGCGGAGGGGCGGAGGGGCGGGGCGGACGCAAGCTCCGCCTCGGCGGGGGACGCCCGGTCCAGGCGTGGCGTCCTCGTTCCTGGGGTGGGCAGGTGCTGGGTCCTCCGGCGGTAGCGGCATGGACCACCGGCATTTAAGTCCTGGCATCGTCCTGCCGAGTCCTGAAAGAGGGCCCGCGCTCGGCCCCATTTTCCAGTGGGGGGAAACCCAGGCGAGGAGCTCCTGGGACTCTGCTCCCGCAATGCTGTGTCCGCAACAAGGGGCACAGTGGTCACCGGCAGGCAAGTGTCCTCGACTGGGCACTGTTTCCTTACCAGCCCTCCAGTCTGTCCGTCCCATTCCCGGACCTCACTATTCCTTGAGCGCGGGCACACACCGGATAAATCCAGTGGCCTCACTACATTAAGTTTAGTGTAAATAAAGGTCTCTGTTCTCGTTCTGAAAGGACACTGCCCACACAAGAATGAAGCAACACCCGGTGGAAACTGCCATCCATTCAACACCGAGCTGTTAAAGTAGGGACCCGTGTATGGAACTTCTCAAAACTGCTCTTCTGAACCTACCCAGGCGGTAGGGGTTCCATGTGTGAGGTAAGGGTTTCAGGCATTACGGTGCTTCCTAGAAGGGGCCCGAGAGGCTGGGATGTGCCGGAAGGAAGGCCGACTGATGCTCTCCGTGACTCTGGGGGCCTGGCAGGTCTCCCCTGCAGCAGGTTAACAGGCCTGCAGGGAGCCTAAGGGAGTGAGTGCACACTTGGAGGTGCTCAGAAGCTGGATCAAGACCAGGCTTTATTGGGACCACCCCAGGTAATCCTCCGCCACCCACTGACTAGGGTCTATGCCTGAAGCCCTGAACAGTCATCACTGAGGGTGCTGGTCACCTGTTGGGAACACTACCTCGCCTGGCACTGACCACCCCAGCTCCAACCCCAGTGACTCCTGCCCACCTGTGTCCCCCCTTTCCCAAGCATGTTATCACCTAGCCTTTGAGGTGCAGAGTGCCAGGAGTTGGGATAGGTCCCATGCAGCCATCAGCCTGACCTGCCTGCATGGTGCACAGGTGAAAACAGGTAAGAGTCAAGGGGACTTCATTTATTCCCCATCCCCGACCCCATCCAGCCCTGCAGTACATTCTGTAGCCCCCACCCGCAAATGTTCTTGAATCCTGCCACTTCTCTGCACCTGCACTGCCTCAGGTGGTCCTGGGCCACCTCCTGCCTAACATCCTCCTTACCTCACACAGAGGTCAGAGGGAACCTTCTCTGCTCAGTCCCTGTTATTACCCAGAGTAAAAGTTTGACTCCTATGACTCACCGTCTGCCCTCCTCTCCACCTCTTCCCTCTATTACAGCCACACTGGGCTCCTCCCTGTTCCTCCAACACCCAACACTGCAGACACAGTTCTGCCTCAGGGCCTTTGCACTGGCTGTGTCCACCTCCCCCCCTTCCAATGTTGTTCTAGGTACTGGCAGGGCTCCTCTTTCTCTAACTTCAGGCTTTACCCACAAATGTCACCTGCTCACTGTACCCCCCTTAGCACCCTGCCCCCCAACAGTCTTCTCCTTGGCACTTCTCACTAGCTGTCTTCCTGCTATTTTTGAATGTGCATGTGTACAAGGGGTTCATCCTCCCTATTAGATGATTAATGCCACAGACAATCTGGTAGGCAAAGAGGCTTGGAGGTCCTGGGCTAGCTGGATACTCCCCCACAGGTCCAGCCCAGCCTGTGGGGCAGCCCTGGACCTTCCTAACAACCCATCTCTGTCCTCCCACCCAGCACTATCTGGTGTCCATGGTGCTCATCAGTAATGGGAGAGGGCTCCTGCCCACCGGCCCAGCCCAGGCCAGCCTCGAGTTTCATTCTGGCAGGGCACAGACAGGAGGCCGCCAATGGATGGGTGTAGGGCAGGAATGGAAAATAGCTCCTGGTGCGGGCAGTTGGGGACCACGGCTCCCAGCCACCAGGAGACTGGTAAGGGGATGCTGAGGTCCCTGGGTTGGTCCCCCTTTCCTGTCCCACCTGAGAGGGAAGGCCTCCTCTCGCTGCACTGATGCCCCTGCCAGGGGAGTTCTTCTCTGTACCTCTCCCCTGCTGAGCTCTTGGCCAGCTCCACTGATGGGGGTCCCTTGCTCAGTGTCCTGTTCTGGCAACCAGGGACGGGGTTTGGACAGCCACCTCTGAGGCAGGTGACACCAGGTACTGGGAACCCAAGTGTCTTCTTTCCTCCTGGGAAGGACCCAAACCTGGTCAAGGGACAAAGGACAAGAAGCCCTGTCCAGCACGTGCAGTCCACTGTGGGCTCAGAGCCTTTGTATGGTTGGTTCCTGCTGCCTAAGATGCTCATCCCCTAGGACCTGACCTGGCAGCAACTTCTTATGGTTTTCATGGACATAACTTGATGGTGACCTCATCCCAGAAGCCCCCTAACCCACCTCCATCTGTTGTTCTGCTTCTCCTTAGATCTTGCAGGGCGACCACTGTGCGTTTCTCTCTCCCGGCAGGGAGCTCAGTGCTTTGGCCACTGCGGCACTCCAGCACCCTCGGCCCTGACGACAGTGGGTCTCAGACTTGGCTGATGACTGCCTCCCTGCACAGCAGTAGCAAGGAGCAGGGGCCTGGGGAGCAGCAGCCGGGCGGGGGCTGATGTTTACTTCACAAGGACCCATTATACCCCTTCCATGTTCAGCCAAGCTGAGACCTGTGTACTTCCGGACCCTCATCACCTACAGACCAGCCAGGGATCCTGGGTTTGAGAATTCTAATGCCCATCGCGATGACCGTGACCTCTCTGTGTCTGTTTCCCTGGCTGCCAACTGGGCTTGGGGGACATGGCTGTGCTACCCTCAGCTCAGCAGCACAGGGTAGCTGTTTTGAGGGCCAAGGGAGTCCCTGTAGCTGCTGTTCATAGATCCTGGTCTCCAGAACCCTGTGCCCAGGACCCTCCTGTCCCAGCCCTGGTTCCCACACGCCCTCCTCCAAGTGTCTACAGCAAACATGGATCGGGTAGGGATACATGTGGAGGCATTTATTGACAGAAGGGGGCTGGGCTTCTAGCCTCTGCCTCTGGCCAGCCAAAGTTAGGGGGAAAGGATGAAGGCCAGTGCCCAGTGGGGAGGGCAGCACAGGTGGGCCTCACCTTCCCACCGCAGAAACTGCATCTGGGGCCAGCCTCAGGCGCTGGGGGCATACTGTAGTACTAGGCGGTCAAAGTCGTTTTCCTTCAGCATGAAACAAGGAACAAAAAGAGAGAAAGGGGAGCACATGTGAGTCGGGGCCTGAATTCTGGTCCCTCCCTGGCAGGCCTAGGGGGTCTGGGGCTCACCTTGGCCTGGTACTCCTTGATGAAGGGGTGGGACCTGTGGGCATCCTTCAGCTGGGACAGGTAGCGGTTTGTCACCTGTCGGAAAGGTGAGGCTGGCTTAGCTGTACACAGGCTTTGACACACGGGGCAGGGGTGGGTGGGATAAGGACCACCCAGCAGACTCCCTGCCAGGAGCCCTGATCTCCCTACATGCCCTCCATTGCCCCACCTGAATAGGACCTGGCCCAGAACCTGGGCTTGGCACGTGGATGGGCTATGCAACTCAGGGTTTGCTGGAGTGGACAGGGCGGGGCCCTGGGTCCTGGGCGAGAGTGGGAGGCCAGGAAGAGTAGAGGGCAAGTCAAGGGGGATGGGGTTGGAAAGGGAGATGGGTCTGAGGTACCCAGAGGCCTGCAGACTGAAACCTGGGCCCCAGCAGAGCCTTTGCTGCCAGGCTGACCCTGACCCAGCTCTGACCGTATGGGGCTGGGGTACCTGCCTGGCTCTATTTCCCTGAGACTAGGAGTCTAGGCTTGTTTCTTAAGTGGGCGGGTCATCCTATCTGTCCTGCACCACCTTGGCTGAGGCTGCTGGGAGCCCTCCTCCAAGGGCCAGGAAGCAGCTGCCTTGAAGCCCTGGCTGGGCCCCTGGCCAGCTGGGCCAGTCATCTAAATGAGCAGTACTCCAGCATCCGCTTCCCTCCCCACCCTCAGACAAAGTGGGATCACTCTCCTGGGCCCCTCTTCCATCCTGTTGCCTACCCCACACCCTGAGGTGGCACAGGCTGGGGTCCCAGCCCAAGTGCCTTCTATGAGCCTCCGACCACCTGTCCGTAGGACCCATGGGAGCAGCTGACCCAAGGCCCTGGGGGAGCACCCACAACTCCAACTTCCCAGGGCCCACCTGTGGGGAATGGGTTTTTTCCGTGACCCCAGGACAACTGAGGTGCAGACTGTGAGGGCCTGAGCTTCCTCTGGAGCCGAGGCTAAAGCACAAACCTCTACCCGCCCCCAGGATGGCATCATGAGGGCCGGACAACCCCATGCACGTGGCTGGGGGCAGAGGGCCTACCTCAGGAGGCTTGCCCAGGTGCTGGGACAGGACGATGAGGTTCACCAGAGTTTCCGGGTGGCCACTGTCCTGAAAACATGGGGACACCAGCAAGAAGGGTTAGCACCTTTAGGCCCTGAATTTGACCTACTTATTCGCATCTTGGGCAGGATAATATCCCTCCACCACTGTCCTGGGGTGCAACCTCAGATGTGGGACAGGGTCAAGGCTCCAAGACCCTGAGTGCTTCCCACACCAGCCAATCTGCAAGGCGGTGACCTCAGGGATGTCCCTCCTCCCCTCCCACGTGCCCGCACCAGCTGCTTCCCCTCTGAGTTTACCGCCTCCTTAGATCAGACTGGGACAGAATCCCTTTACCTGGCACAATTGGGGGATTGGGGAGGGGCCTATTTATCACAAGAATCTCAAATCTCAAAGTAACACCGGGCCAAAGGCAGCCTCACTGACCAGCCTCAGGGCTGCCACAAGTGGACCCCACCCACCCAGCCTGTTCCCTGGAGGCCTTGGCAGGAAGTTGCTGGGAAATTACCAGAACCTCCAGGAGGGTGACATCACCCCGCCCGCCCACACTGGGCTCTGAGGCACAGGGAACCCTGGGAACCGGCTGTCCACTGCCTTGGCCAGAAACTTAAGCCAGAACCCTTGGTGGCTATGAGGCAGGGACATGGTGGGGAGCCCTGCTGAGGCAACGGAGGCAGAGATGCACCACCCAGGACGAGTGACCTCCACAGGCACGCTCCACCCAGGCTGCCCTTCTTTTCGGAGACCCAGCTTCTCCTGCCAGCACAGGTATCCTGACGGGATAAGGTAGCTCCACCAGTGCAACCTAAGGACACCGGCCCACAGGACCACCACACTGACGCCCTTCTGGCCCGCTCCCACTCGGCAAATGCCTGTGCCATTCAGATAATTCGGCCCCTTGCAAAGAGGAAAATGGAGAAAGGTTCCGACTGCCGTGTCTCACTGTATTAAAAGGTGTTTTCCAAAAATGGAAAAAACTTTGATAACTTTTCCGGTTATAAAAATACAAAGAAGCCCTGGCTGGTGTGGCTCGGTGGATTGAGTGCCTGCCTGGGAACCAAAGGATGGCCTGTTTGATTCCTGGTCAGCATCTATGCCTGTGTTGCAGGCCAGGTTCCCAGCTGGGGGTGCACAAGAGGCAACCACACATTAATGTTTCTCTTTCTCTATCCCTTCCATTCTCTAAAAATTGATAAATAAAATCTTCAGAAAAAAAAATACAGTGAAGGACCTCAGATGTTGGTGGAGAAAACTGTAGCCATTTCAGTGGACGATGTTCTTGGTCTTTTTTTTGTTTGCTCTTCTTTTGACAGGGTCCAGTCACCTCCGGTCTGCAGCCTGCCACCCTCACAGTGAACAGCAGGTGTCTCTTCCGAATACAGACCTGAGTGAGGCACCACACTGAGGCTCTCAGACCAGGCAGCCAAGGTGACAGCAAGGAAAGGCTGGGGCACACATGTCCACTAAGCTCAGGCTGACTCAGGCCCTAGCTGATGAGGTCCTCCCATTTCCAGGAAAAGCTGGAATCAGGATTTTTGTCTGAATAACAATTTTTAGTTGATTCAGCATTAAAATCTCAGTGTGGCTGTGTCACCTGCCGTCCTCCCTGGGAGCCCTAGGGCGTGGGCTGGGCCTGCCCTACCTTGTCCAGTGCCTCCTGCAGCACGCCCTCAGCGGCTTCCCAGCGGCCCTGGGCCATGTGGCAAGCCGCCTGTCCATTAAGCAGAAGCAGGGTGGGCGAGCACTTGTCGGCCAACTCCTGGAAGATGTAGTAGGCATCCTGCAGCTTCTCACCACCCTGTGGGGATAGTTCTAACATCACAGCTTTGTCACCCTGCTGCCAGCCCTACCCCAGCCTGCTCCCTCATAGAGCAGAGCAATTCTAGCACTCTGCAGCGACGATCCTGGCCTGGCCAGCCCACGGCAGGCCCTCCTTAGACACTGCCCCCTGCAGGGACCCCCACACAGGCTGTGCTCTGCTGGCTGGGCCAAAGTGGCAGACAGCCATCTCACTCTGGTCCCCCAAACCCTCAGGTTACAGACTTGAAGCTGAAGCTTCCAAAGGCAGAAGTGGCCCATGGGCATCCGGGCTGTTGTCAAGTGGAAACCACTGGGTCACATGATTCATCAAGGGTGGTCTCTTCTCTGTAGCCCTGACCCTGCCCACCAGGTTCTGAGTCCTGTCCTCCTGCTAAAGATGCAGGGTCACACTTACAAGGGAGCCTGAGACCAAGATGGGCTTGTAAGAACAGGTAAGGCTACCAGAGAGTCACCGGGGGCTTGTCCCACTAAACTGAACACATACTGGAAACCAGCCTGGGTGAGGCCTCAAACTCAAGGGCAGTGTAGACATGAAGATGGTGAGCATATTTTAAAAGGCTCATACAAAACAGCAACTCAGAGAATGGGAGCCAAGTGCCAGAAACCAGAAAAGGGGCTGTTGCCAGGAGATGGGGGATGAGGTGCCCAGGCATGTGGGGGAAGGCGCCAGGGGGACATTGGCCCAGAGCTAGGAGCACAGAGAGCAAGCTGAGCAGTATCCAGGCACAGGGTCAGGCCCTGGAGGAGGGGGCATAACCCTGGGACACATGTGGCCAGAGGCACCCCAAGTCTGGCTGGAGCCCCTAGCCAGACTTGTTCACTCTGACTCTGGCCAAGCCACTCCACTGCAAGAAGCCTGGAATGGGGTTAAGGCTGGGTGAAGTGAGAAACATGCCAGAGATGGCCTGGGCTGGGGGACTCCTCTGAGGGGGGTGGGCCCCTGGCCCCAAACAGGCAGCAGTCCAGTGTATCCATGGAATCCTACACCCGTACCCCTGCAATGGGGGCCTGGATCTAGTTAGCAGCAGCTCTAACTAGATTCAGGAGGCCACCTCTTGGCACTCTGATGTTCCTGCAAAGTCCGGCCCCCAGAAGGGCCAAGGGCTCACCACAGCTAGGTTGACCCAAGCAGTGGCCAGCTGGGTGAGGGTGGCGTCCTCATCTTGGTCCTGCATTTTCTTTAGCTCCTTCCTAGGGGTGGAGGAGAGGGATGGGAGAGAGTCAAGCAGCTTGGCTTCTGTCCCCTTCCTCACCCTGCTACCTGCTCACAGGGCACACACTTATACTGGCTTACGGGCTCTGGCTCAGCCACCCCCAACCTTTGGCTCACACATGACTGCACCACCACACTGGTAAAGCCCACCCCAACCCTGCCCACTACTTGCGTCACAGAGGGAAACTGAGTAACAGACAGTGCCACCCCCATCCCTGTAGGGAAAGGCGGATAAGGATGGTGTGTCACCCAATGGACTGGAATAAAATAACTAGAGAAACGATCATGCCACCATGTTTTGGGTCGGTCCTCATGCTGAATGCCCCCTGAGGGCAGAGGCCTGGTTTCTGAAGAGCATGGGATCCTGACCTGGCCTTGTCACTATGCAGACGACCCTGATGCACAGACCCCAGCCCTGAAGCCCTAGGTGGGGACAGAGTGGGACCTACCGGGCAAGGTCCAGGCGGTCCAGCTTCAGCAGGATCTGCACTGTCATGGCCATGCTGTGGGACAGGGCAGATAGTCAGTGGGTGCCTTCCCACTCTACTCCCATCAAAGCTCATTTCATGTGGGCACCACCTTCCAGATCATTCCTATGAGTGCTTGGGCCACCAGCCCTGCCTTGAAGAGGGGGACACTGAGGCTGACCACCAGCTTGGCAGAGCTGATTTCAAACCTGGGCATGGCTCAGTGGGCCCTGCCCCTCTCCACCACCCAGGGCCCTGGCTCTCATATCTCACCAGTGACCACCCTTGGGCTGGGAGCTCCCGCAGGGTCCCTGGGGTGCAGGGTGCAGGCTCCAGGCCCACGGGTACCATGCCCAGGCTGAGAACCATATCTCTGCCCCACCACAGCCACTTCCCAAATTCAGTCACAGAAGCAGTGCTGCGTGGGGCATGTGATCACCCCTTCAATTCCCACACCCACTGCCTCCGTTTCAGCCCTTGAGAGCTGTCACTGCTTACTACTTATGTAGCTGCTCGCATCCCAGTTTTCCTGCTAGAACGTGACCCAGGGCAGCCCTGGTAGGAGCCTCAGAAACACGGACTCCACTGCCTTGCTGGCCCTGCACCACACCCATTTCTAAGCTGCTGCAAACCCCTTTCCAGATTGAGGTGGGATGTGAACAGATACATAACAAATGTGCGGTGACAACTAACCAAGGGCAGGCGGGTACTGAGAGCTCACAGGAGAGGGCAGTTGCAACCTCTGGGGCCAGAGCTCTGGACACAGCGTCTGGATACAGTGCAGGCTCAGAGTGGCCTCTTAGGGTGCGTGGTGGAGCTGACTACATGCTGAGCTGGGTTCCAGAGCCCCCGCCCTGGAGTGCCCTAAACAAGGGTCAGCCTCAGGGAAGGGCCTCCAGGCAGAAAGAACGCAGGGAGCTCTTGGAACAGCCAGGGCCAGAACACAAGGGTATGTGTGCAGAGAGAAAGGTATTTTCTGCTCTGCCCTCAAAACAGGGTTTTTAGCCCTGGGCACCGTGTCCTTAAAACAGTGGCCCAGCTGTGCAGAAAGGAGTGTCTACTGGACCAAGAACGGGAGCTGCAGCCTGAAAGGAGGCCTGAACTGTGCAGACCTCTCAAAGCAGCCTCCACCTCACCATTCCCATGACAACAGACAAAGAGGCCCCGAGCAGCCCAGCAACTGGAAGGGCTACTCACCCCTTCAGGCCGTCCCCCCTCCAGGCCATTGCCCCAGAACAGGGTATGCACTCACCACTCCAGGCTGTCCCCCTGGTGCAGTGCACGCAGGGCAGCATCTGGGTTCTGGTCGTGGAAGTAGATGGAGGCAGCCATCAGCAGAAAGGTGGTATTGGTCACATCCACACTCCTGCTCATCTCTCGGTCTAGCTCAGCAATAATTGTGTCCCTGTTAAGACACGACACTTAGGGCCAACAGCAGGAAGTGGTGCTCTCTCTGTGGGAGAAGACACACCCAAAGAGGGTGAAGTAGGTCCTCAAGGATGTCTACTAGTGAGGGAGCAGAACAGGACCAGCTCTCTGTTTAGCACCACTGCATGCCAGCCTCGCCACCTTCCCACGAGGCACTTCTCACCTCACACAGACAGGGAAACCAAGGCTGGGCACTCCAGGCCTCATGGGGAGATTCAGTGCAGAAGAGGCCATGCCCACCAAGCAGCACGATGGCCCAGACCCAGGATCCCCTGGACCTCAGAGCTAGAAGGTTGCTGTGTCCACTCTGCCCAGGCTGAGTGACAGGCTGGCCTGTGCGGGGAAATGAGGCCGCATAGATGAATTGTACAATAGTGGTGTCATTATATTCCCGAAGAGGCCTGTGTCCTGGCCCAGCTTGTCAGGTGGGCTAGGGGATGGCCACCCAGCTGGAACCAAGGTTGGGACAAGGATCAGTCAGACATCCTGCAGCCTCAGGTACCCTGAGCCATGGTCTGCTTAACTGGAAAATGGAGCTGAGTCCCCATGTTTTAAAGGCCTGCTGAACAGATAACAAGAGAAGTAAGGTGCGGGTCCAGCTTGCATTGCCACTGCTATTCAGGGTCCAGTCTCTACAAATGCGTATCTACCATACAGGTCCTAGGGTGCTACTGGACAAGTGCCTGTGTTTGAGGGCCCCTAAAACACAAGGACATGTCTGTCGCTATCTCCACACTCACTAAGGAAGTGCCTGAAGGACAAATAACTTCACACTGGAGCTTGTCTCCTGCTCTGCACAGTGGGCTTGTGTACAGGGGTCACTTGGGGTTGGTGTGAGGAGCCTGAGCCACCTCCTGAAGTTTCCTGCCTGGTCCCTGGCACACAGGGTATGGACATGCTGCCTGCTGCTGTCATTGCGACATTAGTATTGTATACTGTTCCCGTCATGCACTGTAGTATCCTCATGGCCTCTGGTACTTTCTCCATTGCCTGCTTGCTGGCCATCTGCAAGGGCAGCAGTTTGTGCTGCTGGGACGAATGTACCACACGCCACTTTGCTTTCCTGAGCACTCACCCCGTGCCGCCTGTGGGCTCTTTTCTGTAACGATCGCAGCAGCCACCACTCTTGGGGGGTCCCTGGGGTTACCTCCCCTTCCACATGAGAACTGGGCTTGTCACCCTGGCTAGTGAAGTACAGAGCAGGAGAAACAATGGCCTTGGGAGGCCCCTTATCTTGGTATGCTGGGGCTGCCGACACAAAGCACCGTGAAGTGGAGAATCAAACAGGAGTTTATTCTCTCACAGGTCTGGAGACCAGAAATCTGAGATCAAGGTGTGGGCAGGACCTGCTCCTTCCAGAGGCTCTAACAGAGTCTGTCTCAGGCCTCTCTCCTGGTGCCAGGGGCTACAGCAGCCCTTGGTGTGTGTTCGCTTCACCCTAATCTCTGCTGCCACCTTCTCCTATCTCCTATTTTTTTTTTAAAGAAGTTTGATTTTTTTAATTAAGATTTTATTTACTTATCTTTAGAGGGGAAGGGAAGGAAAGAGGGAGAAAAATATCAATGTATGGCTGCCTCCTGTGTGCCCCCCGCTGGGAACTGGCCTGCAACCCAGGCATGTGCCCTGACTGGGAATCGAACTGCGATCGTTTGGTTCGCAAGCCCGCGCTCAATTCACTGAGCTACACCAGCCAGGGCTCCTATCTCCTATTTTGTCTCTTACAAGAACACCAGTCACTGGACTTTGGGCCCATCTTACACCCAGGATGATCTCAAGATCCCTAACTACTCACGTCTGCAAATGCCCCATTTCCAGAGAGGTCACATTAAGTTTCTGGGAGCCAGGACATGGACATGTCTTCTGGGGCATATATTCAGCTGCCACTGGTCATAAGCAAAGCCCCTGAGCCTTGGGCTTCATGGGTGAAGGAGCCCAACAACAGGAGATGGTGACAGGGTGTTGCTGAAGCAGAGGTTGGGGCAGGGGGGTCACAACAGAGACTCTCACCTACAGCTGCAGTAGCCCATGAAGGAAGGGGTCTCACCAAGGTTGGGACCACACCCTGGTCCAGGAAGCTCCAGAGGACAGAGACTGGGGAAGGCCCCTCTGTGAGGCATTAGATGCTGTGAGTGGCAGGGCAGGGTGGGGGTGGATTCCTGGGGCTGCTGGTCCCAATGCGGAGCACAACAGCTCCCTGTTGTGGGCCTAGGAGTCCACCAGTTGTGGGAATGCTCCCTGCACAGGTAAAGTGGAGTCACCCGACTCTGAACCACAGCCAGGAGGTGTGAGCTCACATGCCCCTGGGTGAGCATCCAACAGTATAAAATAGCCCAAGAAAAAGTAAAGCAGGAATCACCTGAGGCCAACATGCTGAGTGGCCAAGCACAGGCAGGTCTAGTTCTGTGGAGCTCCATCCTGGCCCGAGTGTGGGCATGTGAGGCCCACCCTGGGCCACAGGAGGGCACGAGACTTATAGGTCCTCACCGCCCCTCCCCAACCTCTCCTGGCCACTGCCCTCAGAAGTCTGACAATTGCTGCTCTGCATTCTGGGGCTAGGGAGGACCCACAACTTAGGGTGAGGTTTGGTGTAACTCCACCTGTACTCCACCTGGCCCCTCCTGGAAAGACAAGCAGCAGGTACAAGGGAGATACAGCCACTTCCCCTGTCATGCTAAGGTCTCCTCTGCAATGCCCAGGGCTGTACATTCCAAGGGAGCCCCTTGGAATTCCTGAGGGCATCTAAACACATGTCCTATCTCTGATCCCCCTGACACCTTTGAAGCACAATCCATCACTGCTCCCCACTGTGCAAGTGAAGGAAACCAAAGCACAAGGAAGTAAGGGGGCAAGGAGGAGGGACTCCCAAATCCTCACCTCTGGCTGTCATTGGCCAGGTACTCCGCAAACATGCGCACAGCCTGGAGCTCAGGGGCCGAGGAAGGCTTGATCTCGTCTAGGACCACGCCGTACTTCCTCTGTGGTGAGACAAGCATGCTGTCAGCTCCACCTGTCCTTGCCTGCCATAAGGTTTTTATGTCCTGAGTCCCTGGAGCACAGAGGGCTTCTTGGGGCTCCACCATCACTCGGTGAAGCCCCAACACCTGGAGCCCGCACCCACCACCCCCAGGTACCTCTCATCCTTCCAGATGCCCACTCGGACTCAGCATGTTGTTCCTTATTCTCACATCTCAGGGACATTGGTGGTCACAGCCCATGCTCACCTGTGCGAGGTATGCTCTGTACAGGAAGACATCCCTTTCCACATCTCTCTCCGGACTCGACAGCTGTGGAAGCAGATGTGGGTTAGGATGCCGAGGGCCATGTGCTGGACAGGGCCTCCAAATCCAGGAGCAAACAGCTCCCCAGGGGGACTCCAGGCCCTGGCTCTCAGTTTCCTTTAATCTTGGGCAGCAGGAGTGACCTCCACTGAGGGCACATAGCATGGTGGGCACCTGATCTCGTCCCATCCCGACATCACCTGGGAAGGGGGCTCAATTGTCAGCCATTCATCCAGGTGAGGAACTGGCCACTGAAAGTGTTACAACTGCTCCCGCCAAAGGACAAGAGAACATATGATGCTGGAGCACAGATACTTCCGTGTAGCCTGCTCCTGTCCAGCTTTTGTTTCAAAATACTCTAAACAAGGCACGCAGAAGAGATGAAGGTTTGCCTCACTCAGAGGACCCTTCTGGGAGGCCTTAGCTTTGCTATCCCAGCACAGTGACGTCTGTGTCTAGCCTGGGCCAGGTGACACCTCGGGACCTCCCTGTACTTGGGTACAAGGTCCACAGGCTGCACCCCCTCCGCCCAGCCATTGCCCAGAGCTGAGAAGCAGAAGTCACCTCACGTGTCACTCATTGTGGGGCTATGAGGAAGGTCCCAGGAGGATGCACGTAGATGAGGGAGCCTCCCATGGAAAAAAAGTTTTTGGACCCCAGGGTGCTGGCCAACTTCCTAGAGGCCCTTTGGTGCCTGGGACAGGGGTGGGGAGCACAAGCACCTCAGCCCAGAGGGTGTGCAGCACTGGGACACACCCTGGGGGGCTGGGAGGGAAAGTGAGGCAGAAAGGGGGCCCAGCCGCCTTGAGGTGGCCTCTACTACAGCCTCACAGAGACACCTGCACAGCTGTCAAAGCACAGAGACGAAGGGTCTGGAGTTCCACAGGTCGGGGTACGCCAGGACTGCCCTCCCCCAGGTGAGAACCAGATTCCTTGTCACCACACCTTCTCCCCAGCCTGAGGGGTGGGGGTGAGGAGGGTGAGTACAGTGTGTCCTCCTCCCAGGCCAAGAGAGAGTACAAACAAGAAGCTGGCTCCTGGCCCCAGTCCGACTCAGCCCACCTTCACTGCAGAGTTGCAGTGGGTATCTCTGGCCTTGGTGACCAGGTTGGGGATCTGGCCATGATTTAGAACACATCTGCTAAATAAATGACTTTCAAATGACATTCAGAGGTAGACGGTGGTGAGGACAGCCCATCTGGGTGGCCCCACACCACCCTCAGTAAAATAACAGACATACTGGCTCTTGGTGTCTTCAAAGCAAGGACACAGTGGGGGACCCTGAAGAGGACCTTGGGTCCCACAGGTGACTCTGAGCCTCAGCTTCCCCATCTGTAAAATGGGCACCACTACCACCGACCCTATAGGACTGCCCAGGTCTCACCTAGAAGCTGTATGTGAATGCTCAGGACCCTTTCGATCAGCCAAAGAAAGAAGAGCTTCTGGGAGGTGTAAGAACAAGGACAGATGTACAGACAGATGCATGCCACCAGGTGAGCTCTCGTGTCCCCAGTACCGATAGTTCATCTGGATCACCTGGGAACTCAGAAACCAGCAAAGCCAGGAGCCTATGCCTACCAGCGCTGCCTGACACCAGTGCGGACCTACTGGCCCCCAGGCAGCGCACAGGTGCAGGCAAGCCTGAGAGCAAGAGGTACTGTGTAGAGAGGCTAGTGATGGGGTGGGGTGCGGGGTCTGCATCCCTGCTCTTTACTGTTTTTGTAGCCATCAGAGTCTCCTGACCACACAAGATGGTCAGCTCCTCTGAGGCTTTCTTCTGTTTCATCCCCAATACCTGGGTGGTGCCTGCCATCTTGTGGGCACTAAAGAAATATCTGACAAACAGGGACACGATGGTGACATAGTGTTGAGATACATCAGCCTTCCTCCTGGGCCATCTCAGGTCGTGTCTGCCCAAGGTTGCTGGGGCCACTGCACCAAACCACAAAGAGGGGGCTTAAAACAATGGAAGCTTATTTCTCACAGTTCTGGAGGCCAGAAGTCCAAGATCAAGGTGGTGGCAGGGCCACACTCCCTCGAAAAGTTCTAGTTGAGAATCCTTTGCCTTGTCCAGCTTCTGGTGGCTCCAGGCATTCCTTGTTTTATGGCTGTATCACTCCAACCTCTGTCTCCATCTTCCCTGTCTGACTTGAACCTCTCTCTGCCTTTCTCTTAGAAAGACACCAGTCATTCGATTTAGGGCCTTCCTAAATCCTGGCTGATCTCATCTAGAGATCCTTCACTGACTTACAACTGGCCCTGGCCATTTAGCTCAGTTAGTGTCATCAGTTAGGGTGATATACCAAGGTTGTGGGTTCAATCCCTGGTCAGGGCACATAGAAGAATCAATCAATGAATGTGTAAGTTAGTGGAACAATAAATTGATGTTTCTCTCTCTCCCCCATCCTCTCTAAAATAAAAAAAAATTTCTTTTTAATTACATCACAAAGACCCTTTTCCCAAATAAGCCACATTGTCAGGTTCCAAGTGGACATATCTTTTTTTAAAAGATTTTATTCATTTCTATTTTTAGAGAGAGGGGAAGGGAGGGAGAAAGAGAGGGAGAAAAACACCAATGTTTGTTTGCCTCTTGCATGCCCCATACCGGGGACCTTGCCTGCAACCCAGCCATGTGCCCTGACTGGGAATCAAAACAGTGTCCATTTGGTTTGCAGGCTGGTGCTCAATCCACTGAGCCACACCAGACAAGGCGACATATCTTTTCTGAGATAACATTCAGTGCAGTACAGGCTGCCTAAGAGGCTTTAGGTGCTCCACGGACCAGAATTAAATGACATGAATTGGCTCAGCGGGGACAGTGCTTCCACTCTCTGGATGCCTCAGGGATAATGTCTTGGCATATCCATGGCTCAGAAGCGGAGGTGTGTGTGCCTCTAGCCAGAGTGACCACTGGTATGATTTCCTTTGTTTTCAGTCACTCCCTGCATATAGCAGGTCACACCAGTTCTTTCACCAGCCATGTAAAATCTGCGTAGCACGCTGTAAGAAGACTCACAGAACACACTGCTATGGTGTAGGCAGCACAGACACATGGCAGAAGCCAAAAGGTGAACATGAGTGCAATGCTGAATCTCACAATGACCCTATTGAGGTAGGTGTCATTGTTCCCATTTGACAGGAGGGGAAATTGAGGCTCAGAGAAGTACAGCAACTCAGCCCTGGTTGCAGAGACAACATAGGAGAGCTGGCACTGAGCCCAGGTCTACCTCAATCCTCTTCCAGTCTATACTACCCCAACAAGGAGGCACAGACAATTCTGCTGGTGGACCGAATAAGGCTTGCCAGAGATGTCCATGCCAGTCCCTGGGACCTGTTAACAGTTTACATCACATCATATGAGAGATTCTGCAGATGTGATTAAGGTTATGGACCCTAAAATGAGGAGAGTGTGCTGACTGTCTGGGAGGGCCCAGTCTAATCACAGAAGACTTAAAGTGGAGACTAGGCAGAAGGAATGCAGCAGAAGGGGAAATTCCAGAGACTTCAACTGTGAGAATCCTATGGCTGGTTCTAAGATGGGGGAGTGGGAGCGCACATTCAAGGTTGAGGACTGGAGACAAGCCTCTAGGAGCTAAGAGTGTTCCCAGGCAGAGGGCCAACAATCTGAATGAGTTTGGGAGCAGATTCTTCCCTAGAACCTCCAGAAAAGACACAGCCTGGCTGACACCTTGAAATAAGCATGGTGAGAGCTATATTGGACTTCTGACCTACAGGAAGCCTAAGAGATTAATAAATTAATGTTGTCTTATGCTGTTTGTTGTAACTTGTCAAGGCAGTCGTATAAAATAAACACGGTTGTGTAAATGTTATCTCGACAAATCTTAACAATTTTCTGAAGTCTGTTTGAGGTTTTACCTCCATTACACAGACGCTCAGAAACACCACGTTCACTGCTGAAGATAAGAACCATGGAAAGTAAGCCTTCTTTACTTCAGAGTCCAAATTCCTCCCAATCATCTGGCTGCCTCTGTGAAGATGTCTGCCACTCCCTCCTTTGGTGTCCTGATGGCACTCTACACCTTTGGAATAAAATCCAAACCCCTGCTGTGGCCCCGAGGCCCTGCCCCTCACCCTGCCCACCTCATTTTCCTTCTCCTCCTTGATACCTCCCCCACTTCTGCTACACCAGCCTCTTACGCCTTGACTACTCTGAGCTCACATCTGCCTTAGTGCCTTTGCAGCAACTTACCGGGTCAGATGTTTCTTGAGGTTCAGTCTCAGGTTCAAATGACAGTCAGAGAAGTAAGGTCTGATTGGATCACCCCCTTGTAAAGCCACTCCTCCCCCAATTTCAGACTAAACACTTTCTATTTCCCCTTGCCCATACATAGTGCTCAAGTTGTAACTACTGTTCACTTGCTTCTTTGTATATTGTCTCTGTAACACTAGACTGTCATACACCCTGCTCTTAAAAATTCTCCAGTGGGCCCTGGCTGGTGTAGCTCAGTGGGTTGAGCTCGAGCCTGTGAATCAAACAACTGCGGTTCAATTCTTACTCAGGGCACATGCCTGGGTTGCAGGCCAGGTCCCAGCAGGGGATGCAGGAGAGGCAACCACACATTGGTATTTCTCTCCCTCTCTTCTTCCCTTCCCCTCTAAAGATAAATAAATGAAACCTTAAAAAAAAAATTCTCCAATTGTTAACTCAAAGAGACAGAACACCTGTCCAAAGGTCCTGCTAACCGCCCCTGTTGCCCCCTCTCCTGTCATCAGGTCCTCACTGGCTGGGCCCTCCCTGCCTGAAGATTTATTTTCTAGCTCTCAAACTGCCAAGCTCCTTCCCACCACTCTCCATCACACCACATCCTCACGTGTTTATTTACTCGTTTATTTATTCATTTACTCTGTCTCCCTTGCGAGGCTGAGATGCGCAAAAGACAGTTGAGAGTTTTGTCTATGTTGTCACTGTTTTAAGCCCAGCACGAACACACTGCCTGACCTAATAACCGGGCTACTGGGGCAGGTAATGTCGCGGAATTAATTTCTTGAACGTTAGTATTCTCATCTGTAAAGTGAGGACAAAAAGTTCCTACTTCACAAGTACTGAGGGTGTGGCGGCCAGTATGGAGCCCAACAAAGGAGAATTAATACCGTTCTTATTACTACAGAGGCATAAACGCCCCCCATATTGAAATGCCTTCCAGGCTGCGGAGCGAGCGCTCTGGGAAGTAAAAACTGCCACTGCTTTGGGTTTTGTCTTGGGACGAGGATTAACTCCTCACTGCCTCTGAAAACAAGCGTGGGGAGTAGAAACGCCACTTGGGAAAAAAATTAAAAAGACAGCGCGACCTGCGGCCACCACGAAGCGGCCTCCGCCTCTGTTCCCAACGTCCCCACCCAGAACGGCCGCACCTTCACCCGTTGCGCCTCGTTGATACACTGTTGGTAGCTGCCGATGTAGAAGGAGTTCTTCACATCGAACAGCTCGTCCACCTCCCCAGAACCGCCGGAGGACGGACCGGGAGCCGGGGGCGCCATTTCGTTTTGGTCCTAGCCACTCCTCTTCCTGAGGGACACGTCGGCCGGAAACAGGGTGACTCCGCGGGCACGCCGGGCAACGTAGTTTGCTTGTTCAGGCTCGAAGATGAGCCAATGGGAGAATTTTAATTGCGAGTAGAGGGCAGGGAGACGCAACTGCGTCTCGCAGAGCATTTCGGGAATTGTAGTTTAATTGGATTCTTGAGCGTACGGAATTCGGAGAACCCGGGGAGGAGATAGACGAGGCTGGGAATGGAGTGAGTTGAAGAGGGTGGGACCACGCACGAGTCGGATCCAATCAACGGTAAACTTTTCATTAGATCATTGACACGCGCCGGAAGTGAGATTCACTTGGGTCCAGCGGCTGGCGGCGAGGATGGCCGGGTTCGCGGAGCTCGGGCTGTCTTCGTGGCTTGTGGATCAATGTCGGCAGCTGGGTTTGAAGCAGCCTACACCCGTGCAGCTCGGCTGTATTCCTGCCATCCTGGAAGGTGAGTATGGCCCGGCGTCTTCCCCAGGAGTGGTGTTCACTCCTGTCGCGTTACCTCTTCCGTTTACCCGTGTTGGTCCTGCGAGGCGAGGGGCAGTCTCGGGCATTTCAAGGAACCTAGGTACCAGAGGCAGATTAGGCAGTGTTGTTGGCCTTTAGGCTGCACTACTGACTCACTGCGTGTCCACTCACAAGTGATGTGATCTCACAAATTTCTATAGTCTCAGAATTCCGGGAGGTTTTGTTGAATTACTAGCCAGTAGTAGTGGGAAATTTGAGTAGCACTTGCGCTTATTATCGTCATTTTACAAATGAAAATTGAGGCCATCGAAATTACTGGTAAAAGTGAAAGCATGGATGGGTGGAACAGCAGTTCGATTTTTCTCTTTCTCAAGTCAATTTTAAAAATTACCGGTAGGTTCAGTACTCTGGTTCCAGGACTACTCTTCTCCCACTCTTCTGGCCCAACTCAGATTTGCCGTTACAGAGCTACTGGTGGGAAGCCTAAGATGTGACAAGTTGACAGGTTAGATAAATATAGGTGAAAATGTACAAGGAGCATAAGATGCAGATTGGAAGAGGCATTCCAAGTTCCCCAGCTCAGATGATGGTGGTGGGGGGTTGTCAAAATGAGGTAGTGGTTAGTAGCATCTTGGGTTGTGAGTGTGGGTTCCAATCTAGCTTGCTACTCACTAGCCGCGTTTCTGGGCAAATCTCTTGAGTCTTGGTTTCCCTGCTATTAAATGGGAATGATAGCAGTCTCTTTCTCCTAGAATTCGTTAGTTTCCCACAGTGGAAAGTTGTCGGTATGCCCAGAATGGAAAGGGCATAGACCAGTAACAGGCACACAGGAACTGCTCAATGGAACAGCTGTTTACACCTAAGCTCTTGATGTTGCTTTGCCCTCTACTCAGGTCGGGACTGCCTGGGCTGTGCTAAGACAGGCAGTGGCAAGACAGCAGCATTTGTCCTGCCCATCTTACAGAAGCTCTCTGAGGATCCCTATGGCATCTTCTGCCTCGTCCTTACACCCACCAGGTTAGCACTCCCCAGGGCCTCCTGCGTGAGTTAACCAGCTGCATTCTCTTGGGCAAGCTCCTTTACCTCTCTCCTTTACACTTTCCCTGTATGCAAAATGGAGAGAGAAATCATGCCTTCTCTTAGGGGTGCTGCAGAATTAAACAACATAGCAAGTGAAAAATGCTGAGTACAGAGCTTGACTCAGAGCAAGTGCTGGTCAGACAGGAGCTGTCAATAGTCTTTAGCTTAAGAATAGGCACATTTTACTTGGTCAGATGGGGCTGATGACTGATATGATAAGTTCTATAATGACAGTAGAAGTAGGCACTGAGATGCTATGAGAGTGTGGCCTGTGAAGCGGTGGAGTCAAGGAAGGCTTCATTCAAGGGTGCCTTAAAGAAAGAGAAAGGTCTCTCAAAAGGATTAGTTGGGGGAAAGGTCACCTAGGCAGAGGGAACTGCTAGTGCATTCATGCAGAGGTGTGAGAGAGAGGCAGGGAACTGAAAGGGTACTGAGGGCCAGGCAGATTAGAGCCACCATGAGAATGGCCTGGAATGCCAGGTTAGAACAGATTTTGAGGGAGTATGAGCAGGAAATAGCAAGATAGAAGGACAGGAAGTGGGAACATTGGCAGAGGGGGGGCCCAGTTAGAACTGGGGCTGAGAGACAGAGAGGAGGGGACTTGAACACTAACTACCACTAGGGGAGGAGAGACTGATGTTTGGGTTTCAGGCTTTGGTGACTGGTATCAAGGCTATTGCTGAGAACTTGGAAGGAGGAGAGGCTAGTTTGGGTGGGACTAGTAGGGGAGGGCCACAGACTATGGTGAGGTCCAGTCTGGTGAGTGGGCAGGGCCCACACAGGCATCCAATACTGATTGTCAGAACTTTTGTCCAAAGGAGACTGGGAGTGTGGAGGATGTGTGAACAGAAGAGAGTGAGTTAGGAAGCCCTGGGGGTGGAGATGGTAATGGAAGGCAGGTACAGAACTTCTGTGTAACCCAGCCTGGCTCCTTCACACCCACAGGGAGCTGGCCTACCAGATTGCAGAGCAGTTCCGGGTCCTGGGGAAGCCTCTGGGCCTGAAAGATTGCATCATCGTTGGTGGCATGGGTACGAGAGCTCCAGGGAGGCCCTGGGAATGGGACCCCTGCAGCCTTGGACTACCTGCCCAGCCCCACCTGTTGTCTTCCATCTGCAGACATGGTGACCCAGGCCCTGGAGCTCTCCCGCAAACCACATGTGGTCATTGCCACACCAGGGCGCCTGGCTGATCATCTCCGCAGCTCCAATACCTTCAGCATCAAGAAGATCCGCTTTCTGGTGAGTTGGCCTTGGCACTGATTCACCCATTTGGAAAATGTATCCCACAGGCCATCCAGTATAATGTTAGAAACATAACAGTTCAGAGACCCACCAGATGTAGCTTGTACCAATGTAGGTGGTTGGGAGCAGGGCCTGTCGGAGGAAGTGACACTGGAGTTGAGATAGGTGAGGAAGCAGGACCTCCATGACCTTGAGGGAGAGTGCTCCCAGGCCCATGACCAGAGCTAGGAAGGAGGCACATGGGGGAGGCAGAGCAGCCTTGGACAGTGCCCCTACCTCAACCCCTACCACTGTCCGCTGCTGCGGGCATTGCAGGTGATGGATGAAGCAGACCGGCTGTTGGAGCAGGGTTGCACTGACTTCACAGTGGACCTGGAGGCCATCCTGGCAGCTGTGCCAGCCTGTAGGCAGACGCTCCTCTTCAGTGCCACCCTGACTGACACACTCAGAGAGCTGCAGGGCCTGGCCACCAACCAGCCCTTCTTCTGGGAGGCTCAGGCCCCGTGAGTCCACAGCCACATTCCAGGCTTGGGGGGACAGGCAGGAGGAGGTGGTGGAATTATAGCCAATGGTGGTTGTTGCCCATATGTGGGGCAAGCATTGACCGAATTCAACAGAAAGGGGAACTGAGGCACACCGCTCCCCAGGGTACGCACAGTAGAACAGCTAGACCAGCGCTACTTGTTGGTGCCTGAGAAGGTCAAGGATGCCTACTTGGTCCACCTGATCCAGAACTTCCAGGATGAGCATGAGGACTGGTCCATCATCATCTTCACCAACACATGCAAGTGAGCTCGGTGGGGCCAACTCCCCCTGCCCTTTATGGAGGCCCAACAGGTGGCCTGAGGTCACAGATGGGAGGCACAGGGCCAGTCTCAGCACTCCAGGGCCTCTGTTTAGACCAGAGGTTTTGGAAGATTTGCTCAAGAAGCTCAGAGAGATCAACTGATTCACTGGGGTCACCTTTTCTGAAGGCAGAGCCAGGATTTGGGGGTTCTTTTATCTGCTCTTAATGGAAGGGCCAGGGGCCCGTGGTTGTCCCCTTGGAGCAGCCTATTCGCCGTAGTCTAAGGTTGTCACTGACGCCCAGGGCAGCAGCACCCATACCCAGGGCTGTCCTCCCCGTAGTCCCAGGGACCTTAAAATTTTCTGAAGCATCTTGGGGGATTGTCAAGAAGCTGTAGGCTGTTCTAGTAGATAGATAGTCCATATCTATGTTGAAAGGACATTCTAATTGGTGCTGTCCCACCAAGAATTTATTGGCTACCCAAAGAAAAAAGTCTGGATGTGCGGCTGACTCTTGTTGGTGGAGGCCAGAGGAGGACTCAGCAGAGAGGATGTCAGTGCACCTTTTTCTTGTCCTTCACCATCTGTGCAGGGCAACCTGCTTGGGCTCCTAGGCAGGGGTGGGAGTGGGAGCTAAAGCACTTTCCCAGCACCCCAGCTTTGGAGGGGCTGACAGTGTGTCCTTTCCACCAGGACCTGCCAGGTCCTGTGCATGATGCTACGCAAGTTCAACTTCCCCGCTGTGGCTCTACATTCTATGATGAAACAGGTAAGGAAACCCACCAGCCTTGCCTGAGACTCCTCTCAGCCTCAGGGCCTTTTTTTTTAGATTCTTCCCTCTGCCTGGAACACTCTTTCTGCTACCCCTGTCTATCCCAGTCTGGCTTTTTCACCATCATTTCCCTCACTGGACTGTGAGCCCTATGAGGGTAGGATATCCTGGCCTCTGCCCTGTCCGCAGACCTTATGTAGTAAGTGCTCAACCATTTACCAGGGTGCTACCTCCCAATTCTCTTCCTCAATCTGGCACAGAAAGAACGCTTTGCTGCTCTGGCCAAGTTCAAGTCCAGCATCTATCGGATCCTGATTGCAACAGATGTGGCTTCCCGGTAAGCAGCCCAGGGGACTGCCTCCCATGTGTTGGCTCAGTGATGCCCCCACAGAGGGGCCAGAGGGGAAGGCTGGCCTCGGGCAAGGGTTGGACAGCCCCAGCTTCACTGCTAAGTGACCTTGGATGAGTCCTAGCCTTGGTTTCACCATGTGGGCACTGGTGCTGACCAGCCTCTGCCTCTAGGGGCCTGGACATTCCCACAGTGCAGGTGGTCATTAACCACAACACCCCCGGGCTCCCAAAGATCTACATCCACCGAGTTGGCCGGACAGCCCGTGCAGGTGAGCAGACAGGGTGGGGTGGCCTTTGGGGACCCATCCCTCCCGCCTGCGCATATCGTGAGGAGCCAGAGTCATGAGCTAGTGGGACATGGCGAGGACACAGCCCACGACAGGTAAGAGATGTTAGAGGCAGTGTTTACAAGTTGGGGAATTGTTCTTTTAAAAGCAAAGGGGCAGTATTTTGGCTTCTCCGTGTGACCCACATGCTGTCTCCTGGGGACACAGTACACTGCCCCAGTCCTCATTGCTCTCTGCTGCTTACTCCAGTCATCTTCACTTGTCAGAGCTGCCGGTCAGGACTATGCAGTGAGTGGGTTCATGAGCCTTGGTGGGTGTGGTGTTGCCCCATGGGATTTGGTGTCCAAGTTTAGCCCCTCACTGTGACCCTAGCCAGGGGCCAAGGAGGCATCCATCTCTCTGCTCCCAGCCCTGCCAGGGAGGGGCACTGCATTTGTGAGATTTTTCTCATGCCTGGAGTGGAGAGAGATTAGCTTCTGGGATGTACTGGGTTGGTTCTTTCTGTCCTATAGCCTTAATTAAGCAGGTCACATCAGCATTGTGGGCCTTACTGCTCCAGGGGTCATGGGCCTCATCAGCTGTTGGTGCTGGTGCAGCACTAGTCACTGTTTCAGAAACAAGAGAACTGAACAACTGGCATGCAGAAATGCAGGCTGCGGCCTGTCTGGGCTTATTGCTCACGTAACTCAGCCTGGGCGCCCAGGCAGCCATGCTGAAAGGAGACTCACCCATGTCACCTGCCTCCATGTAGGGCCAGGGTGGCAGGAGAGCTGCCCCTCCTTGGTGTCCTACAGCTTCCCTGGGACAGACCCACCCACTGCACAGGTCTGGCTGGGGGGTCAAGCCCTGATAGACTGTGCTTCCTTCACCTGCCCACATTTACCCACCAAGTTCTACTCCCTTTAATTGAGAGGCATCGTGACCTGCCTCTGTTGATCCCTCATCCTGGCCCCTGGCACATAGCAGGTAACTGTGGTGTGTCTTCACAGGGCGACAGGGACAGGCCATTACACTGGTGACACAGTATGACATCCACCTGGTACATGCCATCGAGGAGCAGATCAGTAAGTAAGGGAGCAGGGCTCAGATGCCCACCTGCTTTCTCATGTGAGCAGCACTTTTCTTCCTATACAGTCCTCAAAAAAGTTTCTTTGGCTCAATTATTTTTAACATTTTATTTATTGATTTTTAGAGAAAGAGAGGGAGAAATGTTGGTTTGTTGTTCCCCTTATTTTTGCATTCATCCAACTTGCAACCTTGGCATAATGAGACAGCACTCTAACCAACTGAGCTACCCAGACAGGGCCTCTTTTGCTCAATTATTGAATGAGAAATTCCCCCTCATGGCCTTCAGCAGCCAAAAGCCACATCCAGTGGGCAGGACCTTTGGTTCCTGAGACCATGCTGTGTGGATGCATCAGAGCCCTAGGGATGGGTCCTCGGTCTGTTTAAAACCTCCCTTGGGTGGTTTAATGGGTAGCCAAGACTAAGAGCCACTAGGGTGTCTCCAGTCACCACCCTAACTGTGCTAAAATTCAGAAACATCTTGGCTTTAAAGAGCAGTGTCAATAAAAATCACTCCTAGTCCAATTCCTAATGTTGGCAACCACACACAAACACAAAGGAGAGCAGTCTATACCGTAGGTAGGTCAGAACTCCCAGATCTTGCCTGGGTGACTTAGCTGATAGAAACCCAGAAGGCATGTGTGCCCCACCACACTGGGAACTCACTGTGTGGCCAAAACCCCCCTCCCTGTCACGTTTGACTTCCCCTGCCCCCACCCTCCCCACAGAGAAGAAGCTGGAGGAGTTCGTGGTGGAGGAAGCTGAGGTGCTACAGATTCTCACGCAGGTCAACGTGGTCCGGAGGGAATGTGAGATTGTGAGTGTTGGGCAGCTGAGCGTCAGGGCCCAGGGTGCTCCCTTCAAAATGGGTCTGCCACCCATGACAGCCTCTCTCCCTTGTCCCCACCTCAGAAACTTGAGGCAGCCAACTTTGATGAAAAGAAGGAAATTAACAAGCGGAAGCAGTTGATCCTGGAGGGGAAGGTGAGGGCTGAGCCAGTAGTGGGGGGGACAGGGCTCCTGAGGTAGAGGATGACCTGCTCAGGCACCTCTCTGTCCTTCCCGAGACAGGACCCCGACCTAGAGGCCAAGCGCAAGGCTGAGCTGGCCAAGATCAAGCAGAAGAACCGGCGCTTCAAGGAGCAGGTGGAGCATGCGTTGCAGCAGCAGAAGGCTGGTGGGGCTGCCCGCAAGAGGCGTCTAACCAGGGCCCAGCCTGAGGCCCGCTTGGCCCCAACACCCACCCAGCACCCAGCCTAAGGCCCACTCAGCCCCTACCTGCCCATCCTCAGATTCCTTCATCCAGCTGAGGGTTGGAGAGTCCGAGGGTCTTCTCCTGTTGACAGTCCCCCCGCCAACCTGCTCCACTCTCAGTGGAGCCATGGACACCCACATGGTGTAGTACACAGGTCAAAACCCTGTGGCCCCAGCTGGCCCCTTCTCAAAGCCTTGACCAAAGGTCAGGCTGTAAAGAGAAGAACACTAACAACTGGGCCCATATCCACAGTGACCCCACTCCAGGGTCACCACAGGGTACCATGGGATCCAAAAGTGAAAGTGTGTCACTTCCTAGAGGCACTTAATAAATGAGTCTGTCAGCTTACCCGGTCTGACTCACAGGGGCGGGAGAGAAGGGTACAGCCTCTTATACCTTTTAAATCTCCTGGAACCCCATGTCTCTGCCCATCCACAGTTTTCCACTCTTGCTGGGCTAAGCCCAAAGTCTTGAACTGCACTGCTGGCTGTTACAGCTGGTTGGCCCTGGGGTGCCTCTTGTAAAGCCCCTTGGGGGCCTCAGTTTCCTCACTTGGAAAATGGCTATAGCAATTGCATCTCTCCAGATGTGGCCATGAAGTCAATGAGATCATCCCCTTCCCTGGTGAATTTGGTTGTGGTCTAGGAGCTTCTCTGCCTGTGTACTTAAGATTAATTTTGGGATTTGTAGCCAGGGTGAAGGGCTTATCAGGGGCCACCTAAGTCCAAACTGGTCTAGGCAACATGGGCTGAGCCCCAAGGGATGGGGGCAGCAGGACCAGGCAGAGCTATGTGGCCTGGGCACCCCCTCAGGCTCTGAGCTTCACTCTCCTCACCTGTAAGTGGCTTTCCAGCCCTACATGGACAGAGGGCAGCTAAGGTGTACCCAAGAGGAGACAGGAGAGGGTCTGGTGATGACATTAGGTGCCCACACATTACACACACATACACACACACACAGCCATGCTTAGAAATGTAATCTGGGCACTAGTATGTGCCCTGGGGATTCTAGAAATCCAATACAATGAAAAGCCCCAGACAGCCCCTGAGCTGTGAGCCGCTAGGCCCTCCTGGGGGCTGAGTTGCCCCAGTCCCTGCAAGGGCAAATGGCCTGCTGGACCGCCTGCGGCCAGCCCATTCCCCAGACAGAAAGCATCTGTACAGAACCTGCTCCCATAGGCCTCAGCTCCTATGAGGACTGGCTGCCAGGCTGGGCTCAGGGCGTACCCTCGGCCAAGCGGGCTAGGCCCTCCCGAAGCTCACTCAGTTCGAACAGCCTGACGTCCAAAAGCTGTGCAGCCCGGCCCAGCTCAGCCTTTGTCCGCTCCCGATCAGCCCGAGCCTCCTCAAGGCTGCGCTCTGTCATCCGCAGCTGGTGTTCCAACTCCACGTTTCGGGTTTCCAGGTCCTGCAAGGAGAGGATAGGCAAGGTTGGGGGCCCACACTGGGCTAAGCCCCCTCTGTCTCCTGGTCTGCCTGCCACTAAAGGCACTCCCTGGTCCCCTGGCCAGTTTGAACACAACTAATCATATCCCTCTTCTGAGAACCCTCCTATGATCCATCAGGCTGCAGATGAAATCCACACTATTCCCCCTCCTCACACCTCACTGGCCTTGTGGTTCCTTTTTAAAGATTTTATTTTATTTTTACAGGGGAAGGGAGGAAGAAAGGGAGAGAAACATCAATGTGTGGTTGCCTCTTGCTCGCCCCCTACTGGGGACATGGCCTGCAGGAAGTCAAACCTGCAACCCTTTGATTCACACGCTGGAGTTCAATCCATTGAGCCACACCAGCCAACCCTGGGCCCTTGAACACTGTTGTCCTAACCATCTCAGGTCCTTCGCACATTCTGTACACTCTGCCCAGGAAACAACTGTTAGCATTTCCCTGATTTCTCTCTTCTGAGGATACTTTTGGGGACACCAGATCCTTTAATACCTCCACCTGTAGACTTATAGGGCATGCTCCATGAATGTTCCTTGGATGAAGTTTTTAATGAGAGTCAGGCCAACCAGACCTGGGTTCAGATGGAAGCTCCTGACCTTAGGCTGAGGATGTCTGAGGACTTGATGAAGTTCAAGAACAAAATCAGCAGGGACTCAAAAATTGCATTTTGCCCTGGCTGGTGTGGTTCAATAGGTTGAGTATTGGCCCGTGAGCTGAGGGCAAATTTGACTCCCAGTTTGAGTCCTAGTCAGGGCACATGCCTAGGTTGCGGACCAGGTCCCTGGTAGGGGGTGCATGACAGACAGCCACACTTTCTCCCTCCCTTCCCCTCTTCCTGAAAACAAATAAAATTTTAACAAAAACAAAAAAACTGCATGTTGAATAAATGGATGGACATAAACCCCACCAATAACAACCATTTGCAAACCACCTCATACCTTCCATGTGTCTGGTCTTCCCAATGCTTCATAACTTTAGGTAGATGTCTTCCCAACCCAGTTTGTAGGTGGAGAAACTGAGGCTCAGGAGGACCCGCCAGAAAGGGAGGATACCAAGTCTTTTCCACACTAAAGGCTGGCCACCCACACGCAGTCACCCAGACCCCTGGCCACCGCACACACCTGCACCTTCTGCTGTGTTTCCTCTCGCTCCACTGCATCAGGGGCTTCTCGGGACCCACCAGCCTGGCTCTTCAGTGTCTGGATCTCCTAGTGAAGAAGAGTTCCCAGGTTCTGTGGGTCCTGGCTCCTCTGAGGGGGTTCAGGGAAGCTGAGGCCTGGGGACACAGGTGCACACACATACTCTCACATGCTCAGTGCTCACCTGGTCCTTAGTTTGCACTAGGGACTCCAGCTGCTCCAGCGCCTGGCCTGGCCCCTCCTCATTCACTGGGGTTGGTTCTGCACCTGCCTGGGTTTCCAGCTCAGCCACCTGCGTGGAAACGTCAGCACCTTCCTGAGATCTGCCTTCTGCTCAGCCCCGCCCAAGACTAGGCATTCGTCCCCTCTGCTTGGAGCTACCACCTTGCCCCTGGCAGAGAAGACTTTAGGGTCTGACAACCCTCTGAGGTGGGCGCTATATCAGACCATTTTACAGAGCACGAAACCAAGGCTCAGGGAAGTGATCTGTAGAGATCACAGCCAGTCGGTGAACCCAGGAGAGACAGGACATACGCAGGAAGGAGCTCCAGGGTTGTCCGCGACAAGGGATCTAGAAGAGAGAGGTCCCCTCACCCGCTGCCGCAGCCGCTCGGCCTCTGCACGCTGGGCCTCCAGCTGCTGCCTCCACTGCGCGGCGGCTGCGTTGGCCTCTCGCAAGGCGCCCGCCAACTTGTTGTTGCTGTCCTGCAGCGCGAAGAACTCCGCTTCCCATTGTACCTCGCCCACGGAGCTGCGGGGACGCAGGGGTCGGCCCGCTGTTCAGCCAGGCCGGCCAGAGTTAGGCTACAAGTAGGGCTGCCCTGGGTCAGGGATGCGGCCAGGAGGCCGTACTGGGAAAGGGGTAAAGCTGCACAGCACCCGCCCGGCGTGCTGGGTGCAGCAACACAGTGGGCAGGGTCGGGGTAGACGCGGGGAACCGGACGCGACCAATGCACGGAAGTCTCAGGAAGGCGGGTCTTGAAAGACGCGGTTAGGGTTGGGCTACGGATCATTGTCGGGGCGGGGTTAGAATGGTGCTCACTCAGTGAGACGGGGCAAAGCGCGCGGTCGGGGCGTCGCCCACAGGGATCCAGCCAGAGCCGGGTGGGGCTGGGAGGCACTTGTGGGTTTATAACAATCCGCGGGACGCGTGAATGGGAAGGGGCGGGGCCATCCTCTGTAAGGCGTGGCAAAAGCCAAAGCGCGTGGACGGGCACTGTCGGCTCCGGAAGGGGCAGGACTGCGGTTAGCCACCTCCCGCTCCCAGGCTTTGGGATTACGGCCCAGTGGTTCCTCTGGCAGCCCCTCCTGCGGTAACCCTGTGCCCCGCCCTACCCCTCACCCTTCTGACAGCATCTTCTTGAGCCGCTCTCGTTCTGCTGGGCCAGGGGCTTCAGCGCTTTGACTGCGGAACAGTTTCTCGTCGCTGGGCGGGCCATTGGCGCTGACTAGGGGGGTCGGGGGCACCTAAGGATGTGGGCAGAAGCTGGGTCACCGAGGCTTCAGTCAAAGACCGGTTAGAAGGTCATGGTTAGGGTCAGGGCTGATGATACTGGGTTCATAACTGCGAGCAGGCTTCACTCCCAGCACTGGGATCCGAGGGCGCCCCTTACCCATCCTCCCTGGTTTCCCAAGGCCCCTGGATTGGAGTTCTGGGTCCTGGCCCCCAACCTTGCCTGCCTGGGTTCTCACCAATTTCCCAGGACCAAACCTGATTGCAGGCCAGTTTAAACCCGCTGAGATACTGGAAATCTGCTGCGATGGCGGGGGTGGGGGCAATCTGACACCCTACGAATAGTACCCCTCTGGGGCCGAATTTCAACATTCATTTCAGATTCTGACAGAAAGCCCTCTCCACCAGGCTGAATTTCTTATGAATCCACCTCATGAGCCCTGAGGGCAGGGGCCAGCCTCCTTTTTCATCTCTGTAACCCCAGTTCAACCCTGGGCCCCACACACAGTAGGTAGTTAATTAATTACGCTGAAAAAATTAGTGGGGGAAACTGCCCAGAAGCAGTTCTTTACTCTGCCCCTCTTAGCTACATCAACTTCCTCCTTTTGACTTGGTCATCTGAGCTGGCCAAAGCTGGGCCAGATCCCCCTGACATGCTCCATGGCACCCACATTCCTCTTCCGTGGTCCCTGCCACAATCTGTGAGCATTTGGTTCTGGGCACCAGCACAACACAATGCAGGGACACCACCCCTCTAATATTGCCAGACAGGCATGGACAGAGAGTGCTGACCTGGTGGGTGGACAGCCCCAGGGCTGGACTGGTCAGCTCCCCCCCATCCTGAGATTTCTCCCTCGCCAGTCTCGCTGCTTCCTTCACTTCCTGGAACTTCTCAGCAAACTGAAGAGAGGTGACAGAAACAGACAGTCAACAAATCCCTGGTCTCCTCCCCAGGGGCCCCACCAGGTTACCCACAGCCAGTATTGTCCCTATCACTTATGCAGGGGCTTTAGGAACTTTGTGCATCCACCCATCTCATGAACTGGAAGAATGGGAGGCTTGAAAAATGACGCCTCAATGAGCAGAACGGGTTTGTGGGTAGGGGTGGGATGCTCACTGAGCCACCCTGAGAAAAGGATCCATCCCCCTTTCCTCTCAATCAGGTTTATTTCAGCAAGGAGAGCCTTTGGAGAGTGCTACTCTATCTTCAATGCCTGGGGCACCTGTAAATATCCTTCCTTGTATGGCAAAGAGAGCAGATCCTGGGATCTGAGCCCAGCCAGTGAGAAGAAAGATACTCTCCTGTTTCCA